AGCGCGTGTTCTCTGGCATTCCTCGGGCTATATTTTGTTCAACTTATATCTACTTTTCCATTATTTTCCGCCCGAGGGCTAGTTAATACTTCCCGTTCCCCCTTGAACCCTCATTACCGCTCAGCAGAGTGGATTTTTCGCAGTCGGTGAAAAATTCTATCCGATATTAATAGCTATTTCCAAAAATTATTTAATTAGTTTCGTAAATGTCGAAAAATGTCTTCCAAACCGATGATTTCAATCTTTGCATATACAACCTTTGACCAGCATTTCCACCTACATGGAAGATTTTCTGAAAAGTGTAAAGTTCGAAAAGCACAACAAATTCCACATAACCCTTTCACACCAACTTTCAACACCAGCAGGTGGAATTTTTCCAAACTTCAGCTTTCTTGCTAGTACAGTGATCAGCAAACGGCCAATCAATCGGTCGGTCAGCCAGTCAGAACAAACAGCCCTAACTCATTCATCTTTACCACAGATTCATCATCCACGGCTGGACCCAGAGCAGCTCATCTAGCATGAACAAGCAGATCCGTGATGCCTGGCTGAGCCATGGTGATTACAACATCATTGTTGTGGACTGGGCTCGTGCACGCTCCGTCGAATACGCTTCTTCCGTTGTGGCTGTGTCAACGGTGGGCAAGAAGGTCGCCAACATGATCAACTATCTACACTCTGACCACGGCATGTCTCTCGGCGATCTGTACGTCATCGGGCACAGCCTCGGCGCTCATGTGGCCGGCTATGCTGGCAAGAACACCAATGGCCAGGTGCACACCATAATCGGCCTAGACCCCGCCCTGCCTCTGTTCAACTACAACAAGCCCAACAAGCGTCTGTCCTCCGACGATGCCTATTATGTGGAGTCCATCCAGACCAATGGCGGCACCTTGGGCTTCCTCAAGCCCATTGGCAAGGGCGCTTTCTATCCCAACGGTGGTAAGAGCCAGCCTGGTTGCACCCTGGATGTGACTGGTGCCTGCTCCCACGGACGCTCTGTTACCTACTACGCCGAGGCCGTTAGCGAGGACAACTTTGGAACCATCAAGTGCGGTGACTACGAGGCAGCCGTCAAGAAGGATTGCGGCAGCACCTACAGCAGCGTTCGCATGGGCGCCGATACCAATGCCTACATGGTTCAGGGTGACTTCTATGTGCCCGTCAACAGCAAGGCTCCCTTCGGCAACATTAACTAAATAACTATGGCGCAATTAAAGAATTTATAACAAAAACAATCAACTCATGTTCTGTTATGGGTAATAGGTGCCTAATACCTAATCTAATAACGCGAATAACTAATCTAGTTGCGTTTACGACCTTAATCATAAAGTTGAATGCCATACCTTGAATTATAAATCGCTCGCTTATACTTTTATGCCCAGAACTAAAACTGTCATCTTAGCAAACGATCAGAAATCACTTTATACCCAGACAATATATGGATCTGTCGCCTGCCACGGAGTACTTAAATCAGCCCGACACATCAATGTATACGTCCATTGATAAAGATTTATTATCAGTCAAATTCACGGAGGGTAGTGTGATTTTTAATCAACACAATCAACATTATATGACTAAATTTAATCAATCTGAAGTACTTTTAAAACGGCGTAGATGATGAGTTAATTTTTTTTTAGAACTGGTACTATAAAAAGGCAGGAACCGCATTCCCTATGACAGTTTTATTTCTGGTTCCAAGATGAAGGCAGTTTTTATAGTTGGACTAGTAGCGCTCTTGTCCGCAGGTAGTTAACCCTTTAAGTCCAGTAAGTAATTGCAGTTTCTGAAGAGCTCTCTTGCCTTGCAGTGAGCGCCCTGCCCGTCGATGATCGCGTTAACGGCGAGAATGGGTGGTACATACCCAAGGAAGACGGCACCTTCGAGTGGATTGATTTGGATGATGCGGAAGATCTGTTGTCAAAGGACGAGGATATCGAGGGTCGCATCAGCACCAATGCAGTCTCCTTCTATCTGTACACCCAGTCCAACCCTACTAAGGGTCAAGAAATTAAGGCCAAGGCATCATCCATAGATGATTCGCATTTCAACAAGGATCATCCCACACGCATTGTGATTCACGGCTGGACACAAAGCTATAAGGACTCGATGAACACCGATATTACGGAGGCCTGGTTGTCTCGTGGTGACTTCAATGTCATCATTGTCGACTGGTCGCGTGCTCGTTCCGTGGATTACGCTTCCTCTGTGCTGGCTGTACCTGGTGCTGGTGCCAAGGTGGGAAACATGATCAAGTATCTGCAGGAGAACCACGATATGTCTCTGGACAGCCTGTACGTAATTGGTCACAGCTTGGGTGCCCAAGTTGCTGGTTATGCTGGCCAGACAGTTGGCGAAGGCAGAATTCACACCATTATTGGGCTAGATCCTGCCTTGCCTTTGTTTAGCTACAATAAGCCCAACAAGCGCCTGTCCTCCGATGACGCCTATTATGTGGAGTCTATTCAGACCAATGGCGGCAAACTCGGATTCCTCAAGCCTATTGGCAAAGGCGCTTTCTATCCTAATGGCGGCCAGAAACAGCCCGGCTGTGGATTGGATGTCACTGGCTCCTGCTCCCACAGTCGCTCTGTGACCTATTACGCCGAGGCCGTTACCCAGGATAACTTTGGTACTATCAAGTGCGGTGACTACGAGGCGGCTGTCAGTAAGGATTGCGGCAGCACCTACAGCAGCGTTCGCCTTGGCGCCGACACTAATGCGTACATGGTCGAGGGTGACTTCTACGTGCCCGTGAACAGCAAAGCTCCCTTCGGCAATATCAACTAAACAACTGTAAAGCAACTACAAAATTAAAGAATTTCTTACAAAGACAATCAAATGAAGTTTTTTTATGGGAAATAAATGCCGAATACCTAATCTAATAACTCGACTAACTAATTTAGTTGCGTTTACGACTCTATTCATAAAGCTGAATGCCATACTTTCAATTATTATAGAAAACCCTCTAAGAATAAGATCCATTTATTGTCTGGGTATTAAGCGATTTCTAATCGTTTGCATAGATGACAGTTTTACTTCTAGGTGTATAATTATATTTAGGTACTAGCGGATATTGCCCGGCCTTGCCCGTGGAACGTTTTGTGCTTAAAATTTTAGATATTACCTTTCCTATAAGTACACGGCCGTGGAAAATTGAAATTTACGCGTACCATCTTGATCTCCACTTCTTTTTAAAAATAAGTTCAAAGTGCATCGAATAAAGAACCAAATGATGGAATCAGAGGTTTCCGCCCTTATTAGTCTAGTGGTTAGAATCTTGAGGCCGAATAAAAAACTTGCCTTTACAGACTCGCATTTTCTCAAGTAAGTTCTGATAAAGAACTTTGAAAATGAGTTTGAAACCGATAATAAACCAAAAAGTTAAGATTTTTCGCCAAATTTCCACACTTGCGGGTGGAATTTTCTAAATCGCTGGAACACGTATTCACTAAGTTTTTATGCAGAGCTTTTGAAAATAAGTTTGATGCAAATCGGACAAAACTTAAAAGTTCGCCCAAAAAATCTTTGAATCTCATTTTTATCGCGGAAATTTGCATTCTGCGAAATGTGTAAAAAACGTGTTAAATTAATTTTCATATAAATCTTTGGAAATGAATTTGAGCGAGAAACATCACCCACCAAATCTTTGACCTCCATTTCCACCAAGGAGGAATGGATTTATCGAAAAGCATGAAACACCCTTCAAATGAATTTGAGCACATATGTTTGTTTTTCCACACTTGCGGGTGGAATTTCCCGAAACCCCGTTTTAACGTGGACCTTCATTACATAAGGTAACTAATGTGAAAATTTCGGCTTTCTAGCTCTTACGGTAGGGGCTGTGCGGTTCAGTCAGTCAGGACAAACAGTTTTATATATACGGATAAACCTTTATATCTAGAAGTTTTACTACTATCTTAGCAAACGATTAGAAATCACTTTATACCCAGACAATATATGGAACTGCTGCTTGCCACGGAGACTTTAAATTAGCCCGATACCAAAGTATGCTTTCAATAATAAAGATTTATTATCAGTGGCAAGGCAGTATGATTTTCAATCAACGCAATCAATATTATCTGAACAAATTTAATCAATCCTGAAGTGCCAATAAAACGGCGTAGATAATGAGCCTCAACTATTTCATAACTTACACTATAAATGGCAGGATACGCCTTCCCTATGTCAGTTTTATTTCAGGTATGAAAAATGAAGACCGTTTTTATAATTCGACTAGTTACGCCGCTGTCTGCAGGTAGTTAATTCCTTAAGTCCAGTAAGCAATCAAATCATCCATAGATGATTCGCAGTTAAACAAGGATCATCCCACGCGCATTGTTATTCACGGCTAGACACAAAGCTATAAGGACTCGATAAAACCCGAAATTACTAAGGCTTTGTGATTTCAATGTCATCATTGTCGACTAGTCGCGTGCTCGCAGCCTGTATTACCCTTCCCCTGTTAAGGCTGTTCCCGGTGCTGGGGGAGGGTGGGAACCATGATCAAGTATCTGCAGGAGAATCACGATATGTTTCTGGACAACCTATACGTGATTGCTGGTTACGTTGGCCAGACCGTTCGTGAAGGCAGAATTCCCACTATTGTTGGTCTGGATCCTGCCAGGCCTTCCTTTAGCTATAATAAAACCAACAAGCGCCTGTCCTTCGATAACGCCTATTATGTGGAGTCTTTTCAGAATAATACTATCAAGTGCGGTGACTACGAGGCGGCTGTCAATAAGGATTGCGGCAGCATTTCCCATAGTGTGAGGCAGAGTTATGTGAATATTTGTGCTTAAGCTAATTTAAGCTAGCATGGCAGCTCAAACTTCTTGTATAGGAAGTACAAACAACGTTTGCCTTAATCAGCGAAAATAATAAGATTTTAGCTTAACTTAGCCAAGCGTAGAGTTTTTCAAAGGTGTTGATGCAAATTAGTTGAACATTTGTAACGGTTACTATTATAAAACGCAACACTTATATCTACATTAAGGGTGAAACTGCTAACCAATTCGAAACCCTGGCTGAAGACCCAAAATGAAAGTATTCTTTGTACTGACTGCTCTGCTGGCCGTTGGTAAGTCACACTTTTATTCGTACAAGAGAATGCATTTGCTCATATATCTGCCCTTTTAGAAACAGCCGTGTCCACTAAGGAGCGCATTCATGGCGAGAACGGCTGGTATGTACCGAAAATAGACGGCACCAATGAGTGGATGGATCTGCACAAGGCCAAGAAGCTGTTGGACAACGTTGGAAAAATCCTTTTCGACGCTGATGTCTCCTTCTATCTTTACACCAGATCAAATCCAACCAAAGGCAAGAAAATCAGAGCCTCAAAATCGTCTATCAATGCTTCGTACTTCAACAAGGATCATCCCACGCGCTTTGTCATTCATGGCTGGACTCAGAACCACTCAGACTCAATGAATACCGAAATCACCAAGGCTTGGCTGTCCCGTGGTGATTACAATATCATTATTGTGGATTGGGAGCGGGCTCGCTCCCTTAACTATGTATCCTCGGTGATTGCTGTGCCCGATGCTGGCGCCAAAGTGGGTGAAATGATCAAGTACCTGCACGATAGTCACGGCATGTGCCTGAAGAGCCTAATAGTCATTGGTCACAGCCTAGGCGCCCATGTTGCTGGATATTCTGGCAAGACCGTTGGTAGTGGTCGTATCCATACTATTATTGGTCTGGATCCTGCTCTGCCCCTCTTCAGCTATAACGAGCCCAAACATCGTCTGTCTTCCAATGACGCTTACTACGTGGAGACTATCCACACTAATGGCGGCATTTTTGGTTTCCTCAAGCCCATTGGCAGGAGCGCTTTCTATCCCAACGGCGGCATCCGACAGCCGAGATGCGGTTTCCTCGGCAGCAGCAACTGCTCCCACAAACGCTCTGTCACCTACTATGTCGAAGCCATCACCCACAACAGCTTTGCAGCCATCAAATGCAGCAACTACATCGAAGTTATCGAAATGGATTGCGGCAGCACCTACAGACACGTTCGCATGGGAGCCGTTACCAACGCGAATAAGGTTGAAGGCACCTTCTACGTTCCTGTGAAGCGGAATGCACCGTTTGGCTACAACAAACTATCAACTGATTCGAAGAGGAGAGTATTTTTCTGAAAAAGTTCAATTATAATCGTTTTAGTCATGGTATAATTCCTAATGTTTCTTATTAACAATCAACGTAACCAACTTACTTTTAGTCAAGTGTAACGTGGTGATAAATGCTGGCTACAAGCTAATTAGTTAAATATTTTTAACATTTGGTATTATTTTTACTATTTTAGAAAAACGAGCTAAGATCCAGAATGGAATTCCTTAGGTAGTTGGCCTTCGAGTCAGTAGTGAAAAGGCAAAATTTATCTTAAGTTCTACAACAGATCAGATCCCAATGAAGGCAATATTCAAAATTATCTAACGCTTTATTAAACTTCATTCTTATACCCTGAACACGTTGAAAATGGGTAAAAAATATATTGCTTATCTACAAATGCATGTAACAGGCAAAAATGAGCATCCATAAAGTATATATATTCTTGAGCAGCATTAATAGCCGAATCCATCTAGACATGTATATCTGTCTGTGAAATCATCTGTCCGTCCATATGTGTAAACGCAAGAATCTCAGAACCTGTAAGAGCGAGACATTTGAAACGCATACTTTCCCGCGGAGATATGACGCTTGAAAGCCACATATGTATGTATGTAGGTAGCTTCGCCGATCTAAAAACACATACTTCTCTGTGAAAATATGACTTGAAAGTGGATATGACGTTTGAAAATGACATAGCTCCGTGGGGAAGTATGTGTTTTTAGATCGGCGCAGCTATGTAGCTTTAGAACGACATAATCTCGCCGTGATCAACGGCGGAGCAATGTCACCACTCAATACTTCTGTAATTTGGATGCGATCACTTTGTGGCTGTCTCGTGATTCGAGAACAGAAGAACAGGGTCTTACATAACGGCCACGAGCTTAGAACACTGTTTCAAACTTGTATGTGAGCATGTGGGCGCGTGTACATGCTGGAATATGGAATTCGCCACGAAGGGGAACGAATTCGCCTGATCATTTGTCGCTTAACAAGAAAGAGAATCGAGAGGTATATCCTAACAATAACCAACTTGGCCATTGGTCACCACAAGCTACAAACGTCATATCTCCGCGGAGATATCTCTAGCTCTTACAGGTTCTGAGATCGTTGCGTTAATACATACTGACGGACAGACGATCGAACAGACGGACAGGTAGATGTACATACATAGCTAGAAGGTCCCGGCTGTTGATGCTGATCAGGCATAAATGTGAAGACGGGATGCTCCTTTCTGCCTGTTATATACATTTGCACAAAGGCAATATACCATTTTACCCATTTTCAAGGTGTTCAGGGAATAAGAATGGAGATTAATAAAGCGTAAGATAATATTGAATTTTGCTTGCTTTGGGATCTGATCTGCTGTAGAACTTGAAGGAAGCGTCCTTTGAGATAAGTTGTGCCTTTTCACTACTGACTAAAAGGCCAACTACCTAAGGAAATCCATTCTGGAACTCAACTCGTTTTTCTAAATAGTAAGTAGTAAAAGAGCAAAAACAATACCAAATGCTAAAAATGTTTAACTAATTAGCTTGAAGCATTTATCAACACGTTACACTTGATTAAAAGTAAATTAGTAGCTCTGATTGTAAATAAGAAACATTAGGAACTATATCATTATCAAAACGGTTATAATAGGATTGCTTCAGAAAAATACACTCTTCTACAAATCAGTTGGTATTTTGTTGTAGCCAAACGGTGCATTCTGCTTCACAGGAACGTAGAAGGTGCCTTCAGCCTCATGCGCGTTGCCAATGGCCCCCATGCGAACGTGTTTGTAGGTGCTGCTGCAATCCCTTCTCATAGCTGCTATGTAGTTCCTGCATTTGATGGCTGCAAAGTTTTTGTGGGTGACAGCTTCAGCATAGTAGATGACAGAGAGAACGTGGGAGCAGAAGCTGATTAAATTGCATTCGGGCTGTTGCATGCCGCCATTGGGATAGAAGGCGGCCTTGCCAATGGGCTTGAGGAAACCAAAAATGCCGCCATTGGTCTGAATGGACTCCACGTAGAAGGCGTCATCGGAAGACAGACGACGGTTGGGCGCGTAATAGCTAAAGAGGGGCAGAGCAGGATCTAATCCGATAATGGTATTAATACGACCACTACCAACGGTCTTGCCAGAATATCCAGCCACATGGGCGCCTAGGCTGTGACCAATGACTATTAGGCTCTTCAGGGACATGCCGTGACTATCGTGCAGGTACTCGATCATTTCACCAACCTTACCACCAGCACCGGGCACAGCCAGCACAGCGGCGAGGTAGTTAGTGCGAGCATCCGCCCAGTCCACAACAATGATATTGTAATCGCCACGGGACAGCCAGGCCTTGGTAATTATAATAGTCAGCGAGTCCAAATAGCTCTTCGTCCAGCCATGAATGACAAAACGCGTGGGATGATCCTTGTTGAAGTACGAATCATGAATAGACGATTTCGAGGCGCTGATTTTCTTGCCTTTGGTTGGATTTGAACTGGTATAGAGATAGAAGGAGACATCAGCGTCGAAAAGGAATCTTTTAACGTTGACCAACAGCGTCTTGGCCTTGTGCAGATCCATCCACTCACTGGTGCCGTCTATTTTCGGGACATACCAGCCGTTCTCGCCATTAATGCGCTCCTGAATGGACAGGGCAGTGTCTGAAAGGGCAGATATATGAAAATGCATTCTATTAAACGAATAAAAGTGTGACTTACCAACGGCCAGCAGAGCAGTCAGTGCAAGGAATACTTCCATTTTGGGTCGACAACCAGGTTTTCGAATAGGTTAGCAGTTTCACCCTTTATGTAGACATAAGTGTTGCGTTTATAATAGCAAGCGTTACAAATGTTTAACTAATTTGCTTCAACACCTTTGAAAAACTCTACGCTTGGCTAAGTTAAGCTAAAATCTTATTATTTGCGCTGATTAAGGAATACGTTGCTTAACTTCCTATACAACAAGTTTGAGCTTTGATTTTGCCGAAGGGAGCCTTGTCGTTCACGGGCACATAGAAATAACCCGCAACCATGGTGGGCACTAGTGTCGGCGCCAAGGCGAACGCTGCTGTAGGTGCTGCCGCAATCCCTATTGACAGCCGCCTCGTAGTTGCCACACTTGATGGTTCCAAAGTTATCCTGGGTAACGGTCTCGGCGTAATAGGTCACAGAGCAACTGTGGGAGCAGGAGCCAGTGACATCCAATCCACAGCCGGGTTGTTTCTGGCCGCCATTAGGATAGAAGGCGCCCTTGCCAATGGGCTTGATGAAACCGAGTTTGCCGCCATTGGTCTAAATAGACTCCATATAATAGGCGTCATCGGAGGACAGGCATTTGTTGGGCTTATTATAGCTAAAAAAAAGGCCTGGCAAGACCCAGACCAACAATAGTGTGAATTCCGCCTTCAACAACTTCCCCACAAAGAAAGTGACACATCTCCGCTGTTGATCATGGCGAGATTATGTTGTCTCAGAGCGACATAGCTCCGCCGATGTAGATCACATACTGCTCCGAGAAAATATGACAAAACTCCGCCGATCTAAAAACGACATTATATCGCTCGGAAATACATATATCAATTGTAGAACGGCAGAGATATCTCGCGGGCAAAATTATGTCGTTACCCACTTTATTCTTGGTATGTTTGTGGAGTATGCAACGAAAACGAAGTTGAATGGAGGTTGTAAGATCGAGTCCGATAAACTTTTGAAATATAAAAACAAATATTTTTTTTTTTTTTTGCTTAAGGAAACGAGCGCGTAGCCCGAGCTGCATTCGGTGTTGGAAGAAGAGGAGCTACGACTAGAGCCTCTTACTTCTTTAGTTTAACATTAGTGGAATTTGATTTGTAATAAAGTAAAATATGCCGAAGCCCATTCACAGTTTGGCATCAGCTTTTTAAAATAGAATCCATAATTGGGTGTCGTGTCATCGAACTAATTTGAAGATGCACTCAGCTAGCGACCTTATCAGCGTGCTTGGCAAATGGAACTTCCAAAGTGGGATTTCCTATCAGAAGCATAGGAATTATCTGATTGAGCGTTGACAAGTTTAAAGTGTTATCAAAATCTGAAAGTGATTAGTTTTAAATATGTTTAGCGCTGTTTGACTATAAAAGGGAACGAACTGCCAACCAAATAACAAAACTAGCTACGATCACAAAATGAAAGTATTCCTTGTTCTAGCAGCACTGTTGGCCGCTGGTAAGTCCAAACTTTATCCTAATAACCGAATGGAATTCCTTACGTAGTTGGAATTGCAGTCAGTGCCCTGCCCATTCAGGAGCGCATTCATGGCGAGAATGGCTGGTATGTACCGAAAATAGACGGCACCAGTGAGTGGATGGATCTGGACGAGGCCGAGGAGCTCTTGGCCAATGGTGAAATGATGGAGGGCCGCATTAGCACAAACGCCGTCTCCTTCTACCTGTACACCAAATCAAATCCCACCGACGGCAAGGAAATCAGTGCCTCGGAATCCTCTATTCGTGATTCGCACTTCAACAAGGATCATCCCACGCGTTTTGTCATTCATGGCTGGACTCAGAGCCACTCAGACTCGATGAATACCGAAATAACCAGGGCTTGGCTGTCCCGTGGTGATTACAACATCATTATTGTGGATTGGGCGCGTGCTCGCTCCGTTGACTATGCATCCTCGGTGATTGCTGTGCCCGGCGCTGGCGGCAAGGTTGGTGAAATGATCAAGTACCTGCACGATAGTCACGGCATGTCCCTGGACAGCCTGATGGTCATTGGTCATAGCCTGGGCGCCCATGTTGCTGGCTATTCTGGCAAGACCGTTGGTGATGGTCGTGTTCATACCATTATTGGTCTGGACCCTGCCCTGCCCCTATTCAGCTATGACAAGCCCGACAAGCGTCTATCCTCCGACGATGCCCATTATGTGGAGTCCATTCAGACTAATGGCGGCAAGCTGGGTTTCCTCAAGCCCATTGGCAAGGGTGCCTTTTATCCCAACGGCGGCAAGAAGCAGCCCGGCTGCGGTGTCGACGCCACCGGCTCTTGCTCCCATGGCCGCTCTGTGACCTACTATGCTGAGGCCGTCACCGAGGACAACTTCGGCTCAGTCAAGTGCTCCGACTACGAGGATGCAGTGGCCAAGGAGTGCGGCAGCACCTACAGCAGCGTTCGCATGGGTGCCGACTACAATTCCTACATGGTCAGCGGTAGCTTCTACGTGCCCGTGAACAGCAATGCGCCTTTTGGCAAAATTGAATAGGTCTTGCTATCTGTATATCTGAATAAAGTGTCAACATAATAATTGAATTTTAAAAGTGTGTACTCCTTGCCGTATCGCCATCGAGATACGATACTCTGACAGACCACTTGGGGTCCGTGCGCTGCGAATCAAGTGCACGGGCACACGTCAGAGATTAGCGAGACGCGTAACTCGGTGGGGGCAAAAATGGGGATTGGTTTGTTTTTATTTTTTTTTTGCGCTAAGCACATTCTATAAATACAATGGAAGAGTTGTTTACGCTTGCACTGCTCGTGCTGGCAGGTGAACTGATTGGTTTGGAATTCATCAGGCGATGAGATTTCTGATTGCGAATTCTGATAAAACTAGCCTGGGCCGGTGAATGGGAAAAGAGTTAGGATGGAAATCATGGCATTAGGCGGATTTATACAGCAACAGTAATTCCGAGAAGGGGCAACAGCTCAACCAGCATGGTTCAACTATTAGAAGCTCGCATTTCCATACGAAGCATGCAGCCAAGTATAACAACTACAAGAATGTCACGAACCAGCGCCTGGCTGGAACGGGGCGAGCTCAACAGGATTGTTATAGATTAGGTAGATGCTCGTACAGGGAACACAGTGAGTATAGCGACGTCGGTCGCTGGCTTTGGAATGGATCACAGGTTGGAGCACTTGCCAATGCTCTACTAGATACAGCTGGACAATCTGTGACAGTGTGCTTGCTTTGCGTGGCCACAAAGTCACACAATTGTGGGCTAAGACCGGCTCAAGCTTTTTCAGTTGTGCCTCTGCAGCTATAGCAAGTCGGCCTAGTCTGGCCAACACAGATGCGCACTCCTTGGCATTGGACTTTGTTAGACGCATTGGCGGAGGCCACTTTAATCCCATCAGTGGACTGTGACAACTGGGACCAAGGACTGTGCCCATCAGTTCGGGGGCTGACTAAATGTGCTCCTCAAGAATGAGGCTCCTTTTGGCCGTATTTGCTTAGCTGACAAAACAAATCAATTCTCTGTATCTGTTAAACGATTGCGTTTACCTATCAGCGCATGGGCGTAGAAAGAGGGTTAGAGCCTATTTTTATCGCTTACATCCCAATCAGACACGTGTCAGTAGGTGAAGTGGCCAAACAAACAAATCACATGAGTTCTACTGTGTAGAGTGCCCGGCTAAGAGATACCCTGTATCCAGGTACCTTAATGCTCTGCGCAATGGCTGTTCTTCGGCTCGCTTGAATAACTGCTGTATTCCATATCCGAACTGTTATTTGACATAAAGGATTTTAAGAAGGCATTCAAATGTGGGTATATACCAAAAATTAATGGTACATAATAAAAGAGGGGGAAGAATCCAAAAGTGCTAATGGAGAAAAAATTGTCAATTGCTTATTGAATCGATTTTAATCACACGTGGTGAAATATCGAATAAAATGTAATTAACTTGATCTACGAATGGTAGTCGAGAGCCTGGGGAGACTAGATCGGTTGATCTGTTGATGTGATCGTAGGTGCCTCCTGCACAGATGTAACATACCCCATATTAATCAATTAGCCTAGGTACAGGGCATAAACAATGGCAATAGCGAAAGTCAATGTTCATTCGATTTTGAACTTATTAAAAATTTGCGGTCCGATTTCGCCGCCAAGCTGCTCGTTATCATACTTATCAATGGGAGGTGCGGAGGGGCACTCATCAATCAATTGGCCAAATCTCAAGTGGCTCTGCAGAGCATGCCTGTGATTTGATAAACTGCGTCCATATAAAGCCCCAGCCAGCGACAGGTCCGAACACAAGTTTAGGTGGACTTTTGTTTAGCGTCATGAAACTGTTTTTGGCTCTCGCATTTTGCGTGTTGGCGGGTAAATAACTGGAAGGATGTGTGCCTTAATCCATAAGTGTTAAACCAATCTCTTAACTTTATTCACAGCCAGCGCCGTGGAGCATAAGATTAATGGTGAGAACGGCTGGTATGTGCCCCAGGCTGATGGAACCTTCGAATGGGTGGACAAGGATGTCGCCGAGGCCTACTTGGCCGCCCATGCTGAGCGTGAGCGCAGCCTGTTGAATCCCGTTACCTTCTATCTGTACACGAAATCCAACATGAACTCAGCCCAGGAAATCAAGGCCACCCAGTCAAGCATCTCTGCTTCGAACTTCAATCCCAATAATCCCACTCGCTTCACCATCCATGGCTGGACCTCCAGCGCCGATGACTATGTCAACTATGGTGTCCGCAATGCCTGGTTCTCGCACGGCGACATGAACATGATCACCGTTGACTGGGGTCGTGCCCGCTCTGTGGATTATGCCTCCTCGGTCTTGGCCGTGCCCGGAGTCGGTGAGCAGGTTGCCGACCTGATCAACTTCCTGCGCAACAACAATGGTCTGTCCCTGGACAACACGATGATCATTGGCCACAGCCTGGGCGCTCATGTGTCTGGGTTCGCCGGCAAGAACGTCAAGAACGGTCAGGTGCACACCATCATTGGCTTAGACCCCGCCCTGCCTCTCTATAGCTACGACTCGCCCAACAAGCGTCTCAGCTCCACCGATGCCTACTATGTGGAGTCCATTCAGACCAACGGCGGCACCTTGGGCTTCCTCAAGCCCATTGGCAAGGGCGCCTTCTACCCCAACGGTGGCAAGTCCCAGCCTGGCTGCGGTGTTGATTTGACCGGCTCCTGCGCCCACAGCCGCTCGGTGACCTACTATGCTGAGGCCGTCAACCAGGACAACTTCCCCACCATGCGCTGCGGTGACTACGAGGCCGCCGTCTCCAAGAACTGCGGCAGCACCTACAGCTCTGTGAAAATGGGCGCCGTTACCAACGCCTACATGGTGTCCGGTGACTACTATGTGCCCGTCAACAGCCAGTATCCTTATGGCTATGGCAACTAGACTGAATATGTTTAATAAACATTCAAATTTTATAGCAAAAACTATAGTTTATTGAGTTGAGTTTCATTTTCACATTCATAAGAGACGCGTTAAATAAGCGCACTTATGTTTTTGAATATATAATACAAGTATACTTTATGTACCTATGAAGCAGATATACATTAAGTTTACTTGTTCTATACTTGAGAAAATCACGATAACAGCTTGATACAAATAATATATACTCTAAAGAGACAAAGACTCTGTCGAAGCATTAACTCAGCCTATTTACCTATACTGAAAATTTCCCTACTACAGGGTATTCAGATTTTGAGCAAAGCCTTACTACTGCTTGAACTTATACAAGCTTCCGCAAAGCTTTCACTCGATTCAAAATATGAGTAGTTTTAGGTATTAGCCTATTGAGTGTTAAATGTATGATTTACACTCAATATGTATTAGTGCAGAGAAAAAAAATTTGGCTTATATTGAATTCTTTATTTTTGTTATTCTTATTAATATTATCATCAATATTAGTTATATTTATTATTATATTGTTATTATTATTACTATTATTATTATTACAAAAAACTAATATCCTGGGAATTCAAAGGTGGGATTCTCATCCTAGAAGTCGAAGTCGAATTCCGGATGAATTAAATAAAATCACTTCACTAACGATTTCAGATCCGACGCTCTCACTCGATCTCTCTCTCTCTCTCTCTGTCTCCCGCTCTCTAAATTAATCTTCTCTCTACCTGTCTCTCTATTCATTCAGAATTAGAAGATTAGTTTCCACTTCGAAGAACGCGTGGTTTATTAGAAATGAACCCCATGGAGAAATAAGTTGCCGCATATTGGGCACATATTTTCCTTCTTCCATACTATTTAAATCCATACTATATTTTAAGCTCTTATATATTTTCCAAAATGTTTAAAGTGCTTAAAAACAGTTTTGGCTTTTATTTTAGAGTACAATTGCGCACTGTGCAGTGAGTATTCGTAAGTGCTCAATGGATATTACAAGCAATCTAATCGGTGTTTTTGCCAATCTATCGCCTAAAGAGATTTGCACTTGGATTTAATTTATGGTACCTGATCCAATTTGGCAAATTCCTATAAATACTGGCGTCTGCTTCGTTAAGTGTATCAATATAAAAGCAGTCATGACATTGTGCTTGTTCCTAACAATTTGCGTGCTGACTGGTAAGTACTTTGCACCTCCCTTAAAGTTCATTTGAGTCATCATGATTTCAGCCAGCGCACTGCCCATTGAGGAGCAAACGGAACGCATCCACGGCGAGAATGGCTGGTATGTGCCACAGGTGGGCGACGAGTCCAAGTGGCTGACCACAGACGAGGCCCAAGGTCAGCTGGCCGCTTATGAAGCGCTAAATGACATGGAGATCGCTGAGCGCATTTCCCTGAACTCGGTTAGCTTCTATTTGTATACGCAGCGTAATCCCAAGGAGGGACAGCTCATCAAGGCCACGCGCAGCTCCATTGATGACTCCAACTTTAATGCCGCAAATCCTACCAGGTAGTGCATGTCCATGGCATAATCGCCCGCTTGCTCATGCTTGGATTATATTCACAGATTTACCATACACGGCTGGAACTCCAATTACAAGGACGGTGTCAACAGCGGCGTGCGCGATGCTTGGTTCCTGTCCGGCGACTACAATATGATAGCTGTGGATTGGTCGCGTGGCCGCTCACTGGAATACGCCTCCTCGGTGGCAGCCGTGTCGGCAACGGGCAAGAAAATTGCCAGCCTAGTGGACTTTCTGGTGACGGAGTACAGCATGTCCCTGGAGACGCTCGAAGTGGTGGGCTTCAGCCTAGGTGCTCATGTCGCCGGCTATACAGCCAAGCATGTGTCCAGCGGCACTGTTCAAAAGGTGGTGGGTCTCGACCCCGCCTCGCCGCTATTCAGCTATAAAAAGCCGGAAAAGCGCCTGTCCAGCACTGACGCCATCTACGTGGAAACCATTCAAACAAATGGCGGCACTATGGGCTTCAGCAAGCCTATTGGCCGTGCTACCTTCTATCCGAATGGTGGCAAATCGCAGCCTGGCTGTGGCCTCGATATAACCGGCAGCTGCTCCCACACACGCGCCGTCTCCTACTATGTGGAGTCGCTGCGAATGAACAATTTTCCCACCGTCAAGTGCCCCTCATATCAGGAAGCCCACAAAAAGGATTGCGGGAGCACCTACAGCACGGTGCGCATGGGTGCGATTGAAAACGAATATATTGCCGTTGGGGACTTCTATGTGCCTGTTAACAAGGAATCGCCGTATGGATTGGGTGAGCCCATCGAAAATGATCAGGATGAGAGTACAACCCCGCAGCCCACTACGGTTGCCGATGGAAATGATGCGACAACTACACCCGGCGATGATATTAACAACAGCTCCAGTGCCACAACCCCTGAAGGAATTATAACTACGCCCGCGCCCGAGGATGACAAAGGCAACGGTCGCAAGACGAACATTTATATCCTCAATTTAATATTCGTCAATGCGCAAATCAACAAGCGCAACGACTAAAAGTCCAAAAGTGGGCTGCCAAGAAGGCTTCCAAGTTGATTAATAAAGTGAAAATGAAATCGAACCGAACTTAATTGTAGATGGATAGCCTTTGATGTGCGCTTAGCAGCATCCGAGCTGCCACGCCCACAGCCCATGTTTCTTACCACTGAAAATGTGAAGGCAAGGGTATAATAAAGTTATACGAAACTTACAGGCAGAAGGTCCTCAAAAAATATAAATGTATATTCCTGATCAGCAGTCTATTAAGCCTGTATGTCCGCATGTCCGTATGTCTGTCTCTTTATTTGAATTTATCGATAACTGCCACCATTTAACTGAAGTCCATATATATGTATATGTTCTTAGTTTCAATTTATCGAGCACAGCTCAGGGATAAACAGACTTAGATACACAACCATTTATTCGTGGTTTTTTTCGTTTAGAAGAACATTTCATTTAATCTACAGCCTTGATATTTGATATTTGCATACATTAGAATGCCACTTGTATGATCTGAATTTCAAAATAATCAAACAATAAATACGGAGGATATGCCACAATAATTTATTCCAAAGGGAAGCAGAGGAAAGCCTAAGCTGTATAGCTTTAAGTGTGTGTCAAATGGATACTGTATATTATGTGTCGAGTACAGGGTATTTTCTAGTCAGCCACTCTCGACTAGAACACTCTTACCTGTTGTTATCTGAGTTTGTGCCCGGCATTAATTACGAAATCCTCGCTGTAATCGAAAGCACTTTGATGTATTTTATTGCAAGCTAAAAGCTGGCAATTGGTTTGATGCTGCACTGCGGGAATACTCTTAATTAAGACCAGATTCAATCTGATGCCCAGAGACTTTGAAACATGTGCATAAGTTATGTATAACAGCGAGTCGAGTTCTTCCTTTCCTTTGGCATTCAGTTACTCCCAATTACCGAAAAAAATCAAATCTCTAATCATCTTATTCCTAATTAGGACACAGCTGATTTAATACCAAGCCGAATTAAACTGCTTCTATTAAGTAACTGCTGCCATCTAGCTATCAAGCCAGAAGTTGGATTTATATGCTAGCTGTTCATTAAAGCCATTCAATTAGAAACACATGTTATAATTCTTATATTCCATTAACCACCACCAGAATAATAGCTCACTTAATAATCGCAGCTGTTCTAAAAGCTATGTCAGCAAAAACTTTGCATCTAGCCTTGTGGAGCATATGAAAAAAGTCTCTATTAGCCATACCCAGGGAATATATTTGGCTTATCGTTCTCTAGGCCATAATTTGTTTCGTTGTAACTTAATTAATAAAAATGTATGTGTGAATGAACTAAAGGAATTTAACATATTATTATTTATTTAATAGACGGAAAACTTTCTTATGTAAGCAATGGTATTTCCCTTAGCTTGCCTGCTTTATACAAACACATTTCTCATCCAAAATACAGGCTTTAATACCTACATCAAAGTAAGTGCCATTAACACATTTCTGTGCTATGAAATCTCCAGCGATGCACTCCATGTAGGCGGCACAGTCATCAGGGTCTGTCTCCCGTTCACCTTCCTCACATTGATCTGACAATGGAGTACATATACCATAATCGTCCACGACGCAGCTCTGAAGAGTTGTGTGAAAATAGCTGCCATATGAGCAGAGTTTCTTAACCAGGTCACCGTTAAAACATTGCAAATAACCAGAGCAGTCCTCGGGATCGTGTCTAACCTCATGATTTGCACATTTGGTACCAAACGACGAACAGATTCCATTCTCATCGATAAGACAGGTTTTTAAAGTGGAATTATAATAGCTACCATTGGCACATATCAATTCTACGAGGATTCCATTTAGGCACTTTAGATACCCACACTTATTTTCGGGATCTTCCTCAAGCTCACCCTCTGAACATTTTGCAGGAATAGGAAAACAGATTCCATTGTCGTCAATCTCACAGGTCTGAAGTGTGGAATTGAAGAAGCTACCACTGGCACACTTCTGTTCGATATAGCTTCCGTTAACACATTCCAAGTAACCAGAACAATCCTCAGGATCCTCCTCCAGTTGACCCTCCAAGCATACAGGAAGCGTTGGACATATTCCATTCTCGTCGATCTCGCAGATGCTTAGACTGGCATTGAAGAAGCTACCAACCTCGCACTTCTCCTCCTCAAGGCTCCCGTTAATGCATCGTAAGTAGCCGCAACTATTTCCGGGAATCTCCTTAATCTCATCTTCCAAACATTTTTCAGGAGCTGGAGTACAGACTCCATTCTCATCGATTTGACAGATAATAAGAGTGGAATTAAAGAAGCTACCATTGGCACACTTTTCCTCGATTAGACTTCCATTAATGCACTTCAGGTAACCGGCACAATCCTCAGGATCCTCCTGTAGTTCACCCTCTAAGCATTTTATGGGACATATTCCATTCTCATCGATTTGACAGACCTTAAGAGTAATATTGAAGAAGCTGCCATTGGAACACTTTTCCTCGACGAGGCTTCCATTAATGCACTTCAGGTAACCGGCACAATTCTCAGGATTCTCCTGCAATTCTCCTTCCGAACAATTCCCGGGAAGGGAAGAACATATTCCATTCTCATCGATCTCGCAGATGCTCAGACTGGCATTGAAGTAGCTACCAATATCGCACTTCTCCTCCTCGAGGCTGCCATTAATGCATCGTAAGTAACCGCAACTATTCCCGGGAATCTCCTTAATCTCATCTTCCAAACATTTTTCAGGAGGTGACGTACAGACACCATTCTCATCGATCGCACATATCTTAAGAGTGGAATTAAAGAAGCTCCCATTAGCACACTTTTCCTCGATTAGACTTCCATTAATGCACTTCAGGTAACCGGCACAATCCTCAGGATCCTCCTGTAGTTCACCCTCTAAGCATTTTATGGGACATATTCCATTCTCATCGATTTGACAGACCTTAAGAGTAATATTGAAGAAGCTGCCATTGGAACACTTTTCCTCGACGAGGCTTCCATTAATGCACTTCAGGTAACCGGCACAATTCTCAGGATTCTCCTGCAATTCTCCTTCCGAACAATTCCCGGGAAGGGTAGAACATATTCCATTCTCATCGATCTCGCAGATGCTCAGACTGGCATTGAAGTAGCTACCAATATCGCACTTCTCCTCTTCGAGGCTGCCATTAATGCATCGTAAGTAACCGCAACTATTCCCGGGAATCTCCTGAATCTCATCTTCCAAACATTTTTCAGGAGGTGACGTACAGACACCATTCTCATCGATCGCACAAATCTTAAGAGTGGAATTAAAGAAGCTACCATTGGAACACTTTTCCTCGATTAGACTTCCATTAATGCACTTCAGGTAGCCGGCACAATCCTCAGGATCCTCCTGTAGTTCACCCTCTAAGCATTTCATGGGACATATTCCATTCTCATCGATCTCACAGATCTTAAGAGTGAAATTAAAGAAGCTGCCATTGGCACACTTTTCTTCGATGAGGCTTCCATTGACACATTTCAGGTAACCGGCACAGTCCTCAGGATCCTTCTGCAGCTCTCCTTCCGAACAATTCCCAGGAAGGGTAGAACATATTCCATTCTCATCGATCTCGCAGATGCTCAGACTGGCATTGAAGTAGCTACCAATATCACATTTCTCCTCCTCGAGGCTGCCATTAATGCATCGCAAGTAACCGCAACTATTCCCGGGCATCGCCTCAATCTGGTCTTCCGAACATTTTCCAGATGCGGAGGCACAGACCCCATTCACATCGATGACGCACACCTCGTATGTTGGATCAAAGTAGCTGTCATTGGGACATTTTTGAATTAAAATTTCTGCATTTAGACATTGCAAATAGCGGGCACAGTCATCTGGATGAGATTGGACAGCGCCCTCATCGCACTCATTGGGCTTATCTAGATCGATGTTCAACGCTAACATCGGACATGCAAATCCGAGTACGAGCAATAGAAGAAGTACTATCCAATGAAATATATTATAAGAAGTTGCCTGAGTAAAGCTCCAACATTTCTAGCTTACCATTGTTATTCCTCCAAACTGGCTGCGGCAACATTTTCAAGAACTGAGTTCATTTCAACTTGGAGGCTGCTTTTATATTTTCTAATGCTCTTAACGTAATGAAATTTCCTGTTGTCTTGTGGTGCTTTGATAAGAAAACGCCAATATGGGCCTTATCGAAGCTTTTTAAGTGTTGCATGTGTCTAGTCATGCCAAAGTAAACAAACCTATTGCCATTTGTGCATCACATCGGCAATTACACAAGAACAAATATCAGAAAAATATCACCAGTAAAGCAATGCATTGCTGATAGGAAAATATGGCAGATCTTAGGCAAAAACGAAAGCAAATGAGATTTACCGAGAAACAATATAGATCCAAAACAATTTCTGTGTGACAAGTTATTAAGCCTAATAAGTCTCCAAAGTTTTTTCCCCAGGCAATTTAAGGAATTTCAAACAGATTTAATGGCTCAAAGGTGAAACGGCCTATATATATATTAGGATCACTTCGGACCTCTATATGATGACGTTGGTCTTCTTGCTAAAAAAAGAAAAAATTCATTTGAATAGGAATTTAGACGAGCCTGAAATTGTGTGGAATGCCAGAAATCGTGTCGAGTGATTTGCATATTTCTTTCCTGCTTTCTCGCTCAGTTTTTCAATTTTTCACTTAGCCCGCGCTGAGGTCCTTGTCTCGAAATGCCTCGCATTCATATTGTTTTACATTGCCACCAACGTCCCACACCCACACACACACACACACACAAACACACCTTTAAGGCCTCAACTTGCCTTAAGGGCAGACCATCAATAATGCAGGGCACAATATTAACATGCCTAACGGCACCGCCGAGCATTTGTTGCTTGCCCCACCAACAAAAAACCAAAAAACCAAAAACAAAATAAAGAAAATATAAAAAATAAAAATAAAAAGACGTATGCGAAAAGGTCAGACAGCTTAACGGTCCAAATGGAGTTCCGTGCAATGCACCGACAGGAGACGTAGAATACACGGTCCGACGCTTGAGAGTTCATTACTCACCATTGCGAGGAGCTACACGTGTGGTAAACGGCTGTGCCTACGGCGTGCTTAAAGCCTTTAAGCCCACGCAGCCATGCCACATCATTGTTTGTAATATTAATTTATCAAAAACAGTTCACGGTTGAACGCTTTCGGTTCCACTTGCCAGCATACGCAGACTTCTGATACCCTTTATATATACCCGTTATATGTAGAACATGTGATTAGCAGCAAACATGAACAGCAAGATTTTAGCACTAACAATAAGCAGCATGTCTGTATAGCTAATACAAGAACATCCCTCTATCATCGGCATATTTCGCTTACGACTCAGTACCTCCAGTGTTTATTATATTTAATAAATTTTCATTCTTTTTTATTTTGCTATAATTTGTTGCGGCCGATTTCTAACCGAAACGTTGTATTGCGAGCGACTACAGTAATAAGTCCCAATGTTATTCGAAAATCTACATGTACATACCAAGGTGAGTCAGCGTACCACAGTCCTGTACACAGAGAGTATTCCCTAAGCCATCACACAGAGCTGCAGCTTGGCTCCCAATATATATATAGTCCATGGTCTCCATGGTATCAAAAGTTTAAAGAACTAAACGCCGGCAATAAATACTAATACTGTTTGTGCTGATTTTCAAAAGAAAATTGCTTGGCTATTTTGAGCGAAAGTTGATGTTATACCCTAAGCCCATTTAAAATGTGTAAAAATGGTTATATTGGTTTTGTGCTAATGTTTGTAACAGACAGAAGACACTCTTGTATATGTTCCAGATGAGGAGGATGGGCTGAGTCGATGTAGCCATGTTCATGCTTGTCCATCTGTCAGTCCACTGTGAAATCGCTGCGATCTCGGAAACTATAGAAAGTAGATGATGGTGGTTTAAAATAAATATTCTCCTCTGTTTTCGATATCTGCCATTTTCATAATGTCTGTAAGTACCAATTTCAAGACTTGGTTTTAAGCATAATTCGCGTTATATACCAGCTAGATACCCCTAAACTTTGTATGTGTGTTCTCGTATAGTATATGCAGATTAAGAAAATTGTACGTTCTAGATAACTTTGACCATTCGCTAAAGTGAAAATTAAACCTTATTTTTTAAAGTAGATGTGATAATTTCATAAAATTCGCACAGTAAACACCGAAGTTAAGAAGTTTAAAAGCCAGTTACAATCTTGGTAGGGTCAGCCTTACGCTAATTCCAGGGTATCTCCTAGTCGATACTTGCTCCTACTTGTTTGGGCTGCCTTTTGGCCAAAAAGCTGCCCGACGTTTGGCTGAGTGGCCACAGCGGCTAATGAGGGTTGCCGCCGACCGCCACAACTAACACAAATGTGTCAACTGGCCATTGTTCTGTGGTGGTCCCCAATGACTTGGCCATGGAATGTGGTCGAGCTCGTGGAAAGGTGCACTAAAGGACAACAGAGAATGCTGCGTGAAGGGTCATTTGCAGCAAATGAAATTGGCAGCCGTCGTTTAAATGGACTGTTATGGTAAAGCATGCTGAAATAAAGGTAACATTACAAAAACTAAGTATCTAGATTTGTATTTGAACGCTTGAACAATCTTTTAGGGCCGATGGGTTTCTTCAATAGGGACACGAGCGAAGTGTCTCACAAAGGCCCCCCCCTTTCCCACCCTTGAAGAATAGCCTGTGAATGCTGTTTACCCATGTGTTCAGCTTGGTTGAAGCTCAATAGAAAACTAAACGCAATAAAACCCAACTACTTATCTGTCTGTCAAAAGGTCCTGCCAGGCATAAAGCTGCTCCGGCCTGGCGTATTCTCAGCCCAAATCTCGCAAAATACGCATAAAATGTCAAATTTTATTCGAATTAATTTATGATTACATTTTATTATATAGTAATCGACCCCGAACGCCAGTCAAGTGTGCAGGTCGGGAGGCAGTGCCCAGGGGTCGTGTGTTGCATGCCTCACTGCACTTAAGCACGGGTATGTAAATGTTTATGATGCATTGGAAAAATGCGAAATGTCTGAGAAATAAATATAAAAAATGGTTTATTAAGGCGCGATTCTTGAGCCAGCAGTTAAACATAGCCGAAATTTCAGTTTAAAAATAAAACTGTTGTCTTTGAGGTGCCGCATTTAAAATACCCTTTTCAGACATGGGACACATGTACTATATACACAATGGAGTGTGTCATAGCTTGCAGAGCTGTATTAATATACTCAGTTAAGGAGCTATCATGATAAAACATTTTTAAACATTTTAAGTCGAACCAATATGTCAAGTGATGACCAAGGACTTAAAAATTGAGTACTTGCATGAAAAGAGTTTTTTGAAAAATATCGATTAAACTTGCCATATAAAAGATATGCCATAGTATAAATCATATCATATAGTTCTCGTAGAAACAATCAGTCGAAATTAAAGTTTTTGTGTGAAATACCTTTTAAGCTTTCATATTTAAGATGCCTCGAAACTATAAGGTTTACATTACTCCAAACCAAGGTTGACCACTATAATATATAGCTATAGCAACCAACGGTCTTCTGTTCTAAAAGATAGTCAAATTCGCGACTCAACCTCTTAAAACTTAAGAGATTAGCTCTAATGCAGGATTTCAATATCGATCTTCATCGATTTCTTGGAAACGGAACAAACTATCGATTATCGGAAACAAACTCTCGCGGGCACTAGGAGGACCTACGTTCAAAATTGTAAACCTCTTGCTCTTATAGGTTCTAAGATCGGCTATTATGATTCATGCTGACCAAGAATATATACACTTTGTGGGGACGGAGAAGCTTCCTTCTCCCAGTTTTATACATTTGCACAAAACCCATTTTTACCCATTTTCAGTGGGTTCAGGATATTGAATACCCCACATATGCTTTATGTCAGCAAGAGTATTAAATATTCGAGAGTCCGCATTGATATTAAGTAAGTCAGGTTTTTACAAGTTGTTATGCTATGAGGCAATATGAAATACATGCGAACTTCATTATAAAATTGTAATGTGTCCTACATGTTCACATAATAAGCAAATGGAACTGTAATCGGTAAATCCTTAAGAATAGCCACAAGATATAATCAAAATAAACATACAAAGATATTTTGCTCAACTCCAATCGCATTGTTCGTGATGTGTGTAAACAGAGCATAAGTCTGATAAACATGGTTAGCCGGCGGCAAAAATACAAAAGATAAAATCATGGCATATTCCGCATATGCCCACGTTACCTGTCGAAGTTGTTTCCACAGACTCTTGCAGTTATTCACAATAATTCTAATCACATTCAAAAAATAAAAATAAATATATTAAAGTAAATTTCGCCCTCACGAATGACCACGGAAAACGTTGAAAACACAAAGGAGCTGGAGGCAGAGATAAAAAAATCACAAAATGAGATAAAACTTTGACGGTTGCAGAAATAAGAGCCAAACAAAGCCGCAATAAGAAAAAAAGTAAAGAGTAAACTTTGTCAAGGAATTTTTAATATGGCCGCTTGAAACTTATATCATTTCGAGGCGGTTTCATCTTTTTTTCCTTTTTCAGCTGAATATATCAAAAGGAGTTCGTTGCATCAGGCAGATTGTTTTCGGGATTATTTTTAAAGCTGTTCTAAATAAGTAAAACAAACCACGTGCAAAAGAGTTTGCTCTCTCTCTCTCTCCCTCTCTCTCTGTCTCTCTCTCTCTCTCTCTCTCTCTCTAAGTGTTTTTCTGGCAAGAAAATTGCATTTTATAAACACCCGACCGGTTTATTATCACGAGTTGCCAACTATTTTAAAGTTCTTTGTGTTGTGTGTGTGTGTGTGTTTGTGCTGTGTGTTTTGTATATGCACGTGTAAACAAATTGAATTTGTTGCTGTCGTTCTGGCTATTGCTCAGTTTCAAAAGGTGTTCTTGTTGCATATTGTTAAGTGCTTTGAAAAAAAATTTAACTAAAATCAACCGAAGAAGAGAACCAGGTATAGCAGGGAGTGCTCGACTAGAAGATGTCTTATGCCTGCGCCGTGCTGAACCTACCAACATTCTAGCTGACTTCAGGCATACACAGACACAGACACTCACACACACACAAGCACGCAGCGGGTGTGCTTCTTCTTCCCTTGGCCCACTACGGGAAATGCATTCCTGATTAACTTAGATGTTTTTAGCGACAGCCAAATGTGTGGAAATAGCACAGTTCAAGAATGTGATTTTTTTTAGAGGGGAAATGCGGGCGTGATTGCAAAGTGAAATGCTCCGGATGTGTGTATACTCTAAGATATCCTGCATGCCTAATTTAATGTACGTAGCTCTTCTTATTTTCGAGTTATGCTCAATAGAACATGTATAATGTATAAAAAACAAAAGAAGTACTCGTTCTGCGTGTGACATAGAAGAGCATATATCAAATATTAAGCTCCTTACTTTTATAGTTTCCAAAATCGACTCCATAAATGGACAGGCAGACAGACGGTCAGCCAGGCGGACAGACGTACTTGGCTGGATCAAAGCATCTTGTCGTTCTGACCATAAATATATACATTTTTTGGTTAAAGAAGTCCTCTTCTGACTGTAACAAATATTTGCACAAAAACAATATACCCTTCTAAAGGTTCAGGCTGTAGAAAATTAACAAAATAAAGTGCGGTTAACTTAGAGAAACCTACAAAAAAAAATAATGCTGAATTGAAGCAATTTTTTCCAAGTTTCTTTACGCCAATAAATGTCTTAAATCAATACAAATTGCCCAATCTAATGGCAAGCATGTATTCTGCAATGAGCTGGTCTTAAAAATTGAAATTTAACAGATAATCTTCTTCGAATAAATGCCAATAATAATAATGAATGAGATCCATGACATACAAGATCTGGCACACACTTCTAGACTTCTTCGCCTTGTCTATGGAATGTAGTGAAAAATATTTGGAATTAAACATTCTAAAAACAAAAGAAATTTTTTTTTTAAACATTAGGCTCGAAGCCAAGCAAAATTCTTTACCTAATTGTGTTTAAATTGCTGCGCAATCTGTAGTTAAATGATTTATAAACATTTTTCATATTTTCAATCAGAAAATAGAACAGATTAATTGAATGTAGTTTTGTTATAGCTAAACAAAAGGCATTCAATAAGCTGAGTGTGATAAACTTATGCCGTCTCTATGGTAGTTAAATATAGATTTATAAATATTAAAATTTTATTAATTTAAGTCAAACTGCTCTGAATGCAAATTGTATTTAAAGCATATAAATACTTTTCGGCTTTGCCAGGTTGTGAAATATAATTGAACGCATTTCCCTTTCACCCATTTAAATTAATTGTCACGATCTTCCAGTTGAACTATTAATGGGCAACGTGCATTATTATTGTTGTTGTTGTTGTTGCCACCAAAAGCGGAAACTCTGCATCAATTTTTTTGATTGTTAAGTATTTTTTTCGCGCTGCTAAAAAGTTTTATAATAATGATGATGCCCAAAAATGGGTAGCGAAAAGCTACCGGAAGCGTAATAAACTTTGATGAAGTGTTTTATTGATTGAAATATTGATTCAAGTAACGACTGTGCTTTTGAATATTTACAAACATAAAAGACCATAATCTGCCTTTGTAAATTTAAGCGCTGCAACAGCATCTGCAACACATTTATTACAACAAATCGGTACACTAAGAAAAAAAAGGGGTATTTCTTGCTTATATCAAAACTTTTTAACCTGATAATGAATTTCTTTTCATTAAATTTATAATGCCAAGACTTCTTAAAACATAACCATGTTTTTAATATAAGAAATGCTGTAGTTTAATAAACAACCATTTAAGTTTACTAAATATTTTAGTAATTATTTTACGTGCTCAAATGATTTATTTAAGCTCAAGACTGATTCCAATCTTATTACTCAAGCTCAACATCCTTATAAAATCTAATCCACATAAATTAGAATTAAATTCAGCTCTTTTCTGCCAGTGTAAATGTCTACCAAAAACAGAAACGCCGAGCCATAAAATGTGAGGCAAACAGATGAACGCCCTCATGACACGCTTTGACATTAAAAATGGTGCAATAAACCAAGCCAAGTCTTTGTGGAGAAAGCCAAACAAAAGAAAACAGCCAAACAATGGCCAACGAGCCGTTTAAAGCCCAAAAGCCAAAGGGCATTAGGCGCGGCTCAGACAAAAAAAAAGGAGCCGCAGGCATTTAAGCCAATGGGATTAAACGGTTAATTGCTGATAAAATATGCACTCACCTGCAGCAGAAGCAGCAGCAGTAACAAAGCAAACATATGTGTCTGGCGCTGTGTAATTGCCAACGCAGCGGCAGACTTTCATGTGTTGTCCAACACCCTATTCCCATCCAAACCCCCCTCCCCTTCCACCCGCTTATGGCTCATAATTTATAATTAACTAACTGCTCGCATTTTGTTGCCAGCTGTCAGCACACAAAGTGGCCAAGGGATTAAAAGGCTAAAAAGGAAAACTCTCTTTGGTTTTTTGCAGCCCAACGCGGCGTATGCGTAATATATCAAATGTTATTTTCCCATGTCACTTCCGGTGCTCCTCCACAATATCCACACAACTCAAATGCAACAATAACTGTAAATTGAGCAGAGCTGATTTATCAGCTACCGATTGAAACATATATCCGGCTCAATGCAATCAATGAATAAAGAAATACAAGTAAATTTAATTATAATAAATAGCTTCTGCGCCGTTGACAGATATCAGCTTGCAAGGAATGCAGAAATTGTTGCCTTGGTAAACATATTCCTAGACCCAAGTGATATAAACAATAAACAAGTGTAGAAAAGAAAATACAAATCAGTTCTCAAAAATAAAATGCTGCATAAAAATCAAGTCAATATCAACAAATATTCCTTCAACTTTAAAAGTCTATAAGCGTTTTATGGTGAATGAAATTATAAACAAATATGCTTGAAAAATGTACAATATACAATTCTTAAACATTTTTGTCAACATCTGAAACATATGAACCATTTATAAAAACTTAATATTTGAATTTTTCCAAAAAGTTTCAAACCAAAAAAAAAAAGAAGGCTAAACTTACAGGTGCTCCTTAGAAGCAACTATGATATTCATAAAGACCTAAACATGCTCTTTCTTAGTTATGCTGTGAGCTATATAAATAGGTTACACAATCATAAAAATAACGTGGCCCTGGATCTCTTAGACGACAGTATGGACACACAGCGCTTAAAAAGATAATATTTGCTGGACCATTAACACACATCATAAATTAATCAAAAATAAACAAACCATAATATAATATATATTGCTTGAACTCATTGCGAAGTTTTATTGTAGCTTTCTTTTTTTTGCTAAGCAATTTGATTATTGTCCCAAGACAGATTACAAATAAAAACTAAGTTAAACAAAAACTTCAATCTAGAGAAAAAGCTCTTACGAAACTTTCTTTTAATTTATTTAGCAAATTAATTTAAATTAACTTTTTTATTATATTTTACTATATTTTATAATATATCATAGAAATTAGAGAATTTTTTTCTATTTACAATTATACAACTTTTTTTAAGACATTGTCAAAGGATTACTTTTACTTAAAACGAAAAAAAATAATTTTTCAATTTCCAGGCTCACGCCGTTTTGGTTCAAGATCGGATTGCAGCCTTAGATTAAACTATAACTAAACGATTGAAACACTATAAAAAGTTGCCAAACATGTTTATTAAAATATAAGCTGTTGTATTAAAACTATATTTATTTATGAGACTAAGCTACACAGTCGCAATTTATTTACAACTAAATGAAAAAATATGAAAGGCAGCAAATGAATTTTGACAACTAACTCACTTATTAAGTGGCTCAGTGACAAGGGTTGACCACAAAAATGTCTAATATAGGTGCTCCCCAGGGTCGAGCCTAGTTTATTACTCGGTGCATTAAAATAGGAGACCGGCACGTGTTAACGCCTGACAGCTGCCAAGTGAAACCGCACGAAAAGCGAAATCCTATCGCAATTATATCTGAAATGCTTTGGCATTGTTGTACAGTGAAGCCTTGATAGAGGCAACGGAACTGGAAAGTTCACAATGTACTTAATGAAAAGTTTTCCGTGATTGCAAACATTGTGCAAAAGTTATGAAAACTAGGCAAATGCGAAAAATCGTCGAGTTGAAAGGAAATGTTGAAAAGAGCTGGCCAAGTGCTGGGCAAAGCTTAACAGGGCTCATTAAAGTGTCACTTATAAAATGCAGGCGCTAACAGAAAAAAAATATGGTAAAATAAGATGAAATTTTGCAGTCGGGTGTAGCCGGCCGCGCAATAATCTGTTAACAGTGTTCAAGAAACTGATTCGATTGATTGCAGATCCTTCTTGATAATTGGGTTGTTGTCTCTTAAACTGTCCGTGACATTCAAGCTATGACTCGATAAAAATATTGATGACTAGCTCCACAGCTTATGTATGCCCTAGTGGGTGTGCTCAATAGAAATTTAGGTGTCTGAGGCGAATATACAGGAGTATACATTAAACAGAACTAATATACTCGTTAACAGTGTGAGAAAAAAGTAGCAAAAGAAACTCAGAACGTACAAAAATATGGCACCAGGAGCAACAGCTCGTTTAGCACTTGAATAATGACAGTGACATATATGAGGTATGTGTTATATGGTATATAGGGGCTGTACTTACCACCCCACTGTACTGTTACACAGTCTGGCTTGTCGAGTTGTAGAGCTCCCAGGTGACAAAATTAGCATTTAACGGCAAAACACAAGTACAGCTAACTGACCCGACAATTTTTACATATCCAGCACTTGCTTAATAGACGCACACACACACATGCACAAATTGTTGCTACAACACGCATACGACTCGTTGGCCGCCTCGCACCTTTGGCAATTGCAGAGAGCGTCTTGATAAACAGTCAATTAATTGCGGCGTTTATTGTGCGCATTGTTCGCGTGCTGGGCACACTCAAATTGGCATTTAAAATAAACAAATCGGCTGAATTGCGCGAATTATGCGTTTATTGCGCCCAAATAGTTTAATATCAAGTGGAGCATAGCACGAGAAACACCCGCAAACGGTCAGCGACGCCGCTGCCGGCCAATTAGAACTGAAGGCGTTTCGAAATGACGACAAAGCCTCAGGCAACAATAACAGCAATTCGAGTAGAACCAGCAGCAGCCGCAGCAGCCGCTAAAACGTTGCGTCGCGCCCGAACACAAAAACCGAACTGAATGCGGCAATCCGTGACTGTCGGAAGCGCCCGCAATGACTGAATGGAGATCAGCCGGCAGCAAAGTTCTAGGCGACACGAAGTAGGGACACGAAGTTGGCACACGAAGTCAGGCGTTCAGCCTTCGGCTGCATTTGTTGCACACTCTGCGCAATTGCTAGGATTTTGGCGCCAAAAGCAGTCAACTAAGCAACATGTTGCTGAACACATTCTGCTAAGGCACATGTTGCCAGTCCTTCAAAAGTTTGATTCAAAAGTTAGACGTTTTTACCAAGTCTTGGACATTTTTTTGCGGCTAGTTTTGCAGCACGTTAAAAACTAATTTCATAACAACATTTTTTTTAAATATATTTAGCACTAAGCGTTTGTATCAGTCTGTTTTCATGGCTGATGCGTCAGCACCTGAAGACTCCTCGCAATATGTGGCTGGCAGCATGTTGCCAGAGACTTTGAATGTTGCCACTCAATTTGTCAAATAAGCCACGAGGTGTGTTTGAAATATAAATCAAAGTTTTGCAGGCTTAATAAGTCTATTAGTCATTAGCAAACAACAGGGCTAACTATTTGCAGTTCCACTTTAGAAATGTTTATATAGTGTAAGCCCACACTTTCGCAAATTTGTAAAAATTTCTAAAATAAAAATGAGAAAATATATTTAAACAGATAACGCTTACTTTTGGATACTCTGTACCAAGTGGTAAAACATCTGAAAACACGTGAAGTACTATGGAGAAAGTGACTCTAAAACTGCGACACAGTGATTTTAAAACTGTTGTTTTGAAAGTGGGCTTCCTGAGTTTGGGTTTAGTGACTCTGGAACTGCACGAATTAAAGATTTCTGGTATATAAATATTTTAAGATTAAAGTAGTATACATCTTAAACTTAAAAGTGACTACAAATCTGTAAAATGGACATTAATTTTAAAAGAGATATATTTCTGATATATTTCGATATTCAACTGTCAGAGTCACAGATTTTTAACATGAATTGAAATTTGAAAATTGCATAGGCTGCAGACGGACGTTGCACAAAACGAATATACCCTTCTTATATAATGACAGTGTACCTAAGAAAATATATTGGAAGCTGTATTTAAAAAAAGATGTTCCTATTAGATAACCCACCATTTTTGACATATCTATTAAAATTGTGAATAATTTTTGGCTTTATTATGGCACGCACAATTTTTTGCATTTTGAAATATAAATTCCTACGCGGAAAATCGTGAAACAGGTACAAAATTAACAAAACGTAACCAATTAAAAAAAAAAGAAACAGAGCTCTTAACGACGCGACTTCAAGGCCTGAAGGTCAAGTTTTAAGCGCACGACGGGGCCAATTGTCGTTAACTTTCAATAACGTGTTAATAAACGGCTTAAATAAACTCGCTTTTTATGCAATTGCAAAAAGGGAAACGCAAAAAATGTTTAGTAAATTCGAATTTTATTGACTACAAACAGTTTAACAAACAATTTAACAAATTTTATGGAAAAGCAACAAGCGGCGAGATGTGCATGGGTACGAGGCAAGGAGTGTGTGGGGTGTGTGAGTGTGTGTGCGCTTGTGGGCGTGGCACGCCATTTAGACTAACTACAAGATTCGCTACTGGATTCACTTGAGCTTCTTCAGGAAGTAGCGACTGGGTGGACCGTAGTTGGAGGCGGGCACATGGCCGGACGTCGGTGCTGGCCCCTCTATGGCCTGGCGCTGCTCGGCGGGCTCCTCGACAATGATGGGCGCCATCGAGGGATCCTCAATGTTGCTGAGAGCAGCGGATGCCGTTGCAGGCGGCAGATATTGATGGGCGGGTGCGGTCAGCGTAGTTTGCACCTCCTCGCCCGTGTAGGCGGGCGCTGTGGGTGGACCGTAGATGGATGAGGGCTGCTCGGGCTGCTCCGACTCGGGTGCGCTGGTCGTGGGCAGCACATCGGCCACATCGGCCATGGGTGCAAAGTCCTCGGCGGTGGACTGGCGCGGCTCCATATCGGCCGGCGGTGGTCCATAGACGGGCGCCTCCTCCTTCTTGGTCTTGTACTTGATGAAGTAGACCTCGGGCTTGGATGGCTTGGTCGGTGGCGGTGAAGGTATGACAATATCCTGTTCCTGATCGGGCTTCTTGTGCAGCACATAGATCAGAGTCTTCTCTTCGTTCTGTGGTGGCGGTGGCACAACTGGTGCACGCAGCGCTGGTGCCGATGGCGCCTTGATGAAGACAATCTTGTAGTGCTTCTGTTTGGGTCCCAGCTCATGGTGCACACGTGGCTGCACCGCATCCTCGTCCTCAAAATCCTTGGGCGGCACATGCACATAGATGTGCTTGTGGACGCGCGTCTCCTGTGGTGCATTGTTATAGCCGCTGGCATGTTGCACGCCCGACAAGCGATGCGCCATGTTGTAGGAGTCATCATAGGCGCTCAGTTGCTCAGTTGCGGGTGCCAGCTGCTCCTCCAGCTGCTGCTGCTGCTGCTGCTGAACGGGTGGCAGGTAGTTCATTTGTGGCTGAGCTGGATGCGCGCCGAAGTTGGCGAACGATTGCTCCTGGGGCAGCGCCTGGTAGATGTGTGACGGCGCATTATGCACTAGAGAAAAAGAGAGAGGGGTAGAAGGGAGAGATAGGGTGTGGGCTCAGCGGCTGGGTAGTGTCGCAGACACACTCACCATTCAGTGGTAGCGCACGCTGACTCTGCTGCTGGGGTAATCCATAGTATGGCGATGGCGGCTCAGGACGTGCCTGGACAGTGCCGAGCAGGGCGACGCAGCCAACAAGGAGCGAGAAGGCACGCATGGCAACGGCAATGGCAATGGCAAACGCTTGAGTCTTTGGGTCTCTTTTGCACTTAGCTTAGATCACGTAATCCTTGACTGGTCGACGGGGCAGCTGCTTCTGCTGATGTTGTGGTTCGATTGGAAAGCGCAAGTCTCGACTGATGCCCCAGTGAACTCAGCGTCGAGCATTTATATGATTCGATTGGGAGAGAGAAGCGAAGCAGTCAGCTAAAGCAAAGACAGCAACACGCTGAGCGGCAACTGGCCAAAATCTCATTACAAAAGGCCGCGGCAAAAATGAATTTAATTAAACATCAAAAGACGCTAACACACACGCGCACACGCACACACTCAGACAGTCACACACACACACACACGTGGGCACAGCTACAACAAAAAGAGTTCGACGCTGGGCAGGAGCTAAGCTGACTCGCTGTCAATGGCTGCCCGCTTGTCTTTTGATGTCTCCAAGCGAGAAATTGAACCAAGTTGCAAACTAAATGCACAACAAAACTGGAAAAATACACTTATTTACCGCTAATCGAGTGTGTGTGTGTGTGAGTGTGTGTGTGTGGGTCAAGCGAGTGTGTTCCCAGGGTGGCCACTTGAATGTTGCCCAGGGTCTGTCGGCCTGGCAACGACACCAGCTCAAGCTTCCTTGGGCTCATACTCTGATCTTAAGGTCATTAAAAAACGTGCCACTTTTTGCTTCATACACTCAGCGAAAATCAAATCATATATGTTGTACTTAAAAGATACACATAATGTGTACAAATATGTCCAAGTTTAAAGCTTCTTAAGCTGAGAACGAATCGAAAAAAGAATTTTTGTTCCACTACTTCAAAAAACAAGACTGAAAGACAACGCTTCTTAATTCAATAACTTTTTGATTCAAGCCTAAACCTACTAAAAATAAAAAAAAAATGTGTAATAATTATATAAAGTAAATCAATTTATAGTATTTAGTACTTTCACTAGGAAAGAAATTCTTGATTGAAAAACTTTTTGATTCAATCCAGACACTCATGAATAAACGAAATATTCAAAAATAATATTATCTAATATAATATAATATAATATAATATAATATAATATAATATAATATAATATAATATAATATAATATAATATAATATAATATAATATAATATAATATAATATAATATAATATAATATAATATAATATAATATAATATAATATAATATAATATAATATAATATAATATAATATAATATAATATAATATAATATAATATAATATAATATAATATAATATAATATAATATAATATAATATAATATAATATAATATAATATAATATAATATAATATAATATAATATAATATAATATAATATAATATAATATAATATAATATAATATAATATAATATAATATAATATAATATAATATAATATAATATAATATAATATAATATAATTTAATATAAAAAATTATTTATAGTTAAGGTATTTTGTACTCAAAACCCTAAATAAAAGAATTATATACAGTACCTAAACTTAAGAAGCTGAAAGCTTTTAGAACGAACTTCTTATTTCGATAAGTTTATATAAATCCCAGACTCAATCACATTTGAAGTCACTCAAACTTAAAATCTTGTATTTTTAGAGGACATTTTTTACGCCTTTTTTAAGAACCTCGTTTTTCCCTCAGTGAATCTAGCAAAAGTTTCTTACGGATGCGCCGAGAGAAAGAGAGACAGACACACACAGATACACATACACACACACTCACACACAACAACAACCTTCGCCTGAGTGTGCCAAGTGTTATTTTCACAATTGGAGCACACTCGAAAATGTTGTCTTGAAAACGAAAGTGACCCACGATTACACACTTGGACTGTGCACAACATGCCACCGCCCCCCTCTGCCCCTTCTTATATGGTCAACATGCCCTTCCATTGATGAATCTTCATTCATGACCCTTTGTGGTTTGCAGCCGTTTATCGGGCATTTACTTTAGCTGTGGGCCCTTAATAACCAGCCAAACACTAAGCAAATTTTTGTGCCAACAGAAAAGTAAGTCCAGCTTAATCTGAGCAGGAAATGACTGCCCAGACAAGGCCGTTTGCGCATACGCCATGTAGGCCCGGCGCTTCATTAAAACTGTCAACTGACAACACTTTCAACACCTACAACAACAATTTTGAAACAATTACGAAACAATCAAAACAAAATCAAATCAAAGTTTTATAATTGCGGCCCAATTATATCAAAGAAGAGGCCTCTTTACACGAGAGTGTTCGACTTGGACATACCCAGTGCGCTGCTTTGTTACCTCCACAAATGCACACACACACTCGCCCGAGAGTGTTTCGTAGGTCTTAGCAGCTTTTTTAGCTTTTAAGATTATCAGTCTCATACAAATTGCTGGCCATCGATATTTGAAGATGCAAGCATGTTATCGACAACCACATAAATAACTTATTCCCTTGTATTTTTCGAGAGTGTTCTCGTAGGTTCAATAAGGTGCCGCTAGCTCTTGTTGTTACTCTTTAAAATCAACGGGTGCATACAGACAGCTGGAGAGAACAGGGAGACAGGCATGGCTAAATGGACTCGTCTGTTGATTGCAATTAGGGATATAAACATCAGCTTATTAGTATACATATTATAAAGGGTATAAAAAGAAAATAAAGCTACCAAAACAAATAAATTTGATAGAGACAAAAACCGAGAAAAATATAGAGAGAGAGAGGGAGACGCAGCTTATAAACGAACTTAAGTACTTGTCATCCACGCTGGCCACAAATTATTAAACGTAATTGCAGCTCGTCTCGTGATGGCGAGAGAAATTGTGGATCCATAAAATAAATATATGTACATACGAAACATATTTAGCTGGGGCGACAGGCAGCAGGTCTGCTGCTGCTGCTGCTGCGGCTGCTTTACGTCATCAGCATCAACAACGCACCATTGAAATTGGTGCACTTGGACACACTGAGGAAGCCAAGTGCCGACAGCGACATGGAGCAGAGGGCGCACAAAGATTGCCACAAAGGTAACAACAGCTGCAACACGAGGCGTCGCGTCGATTGCGACATCGCTGACTGGGGAAGGGGGGCAGGTGGACAGGTGGGGCAGGGCGAGCGTGTCTTTAAAATCAGGTCACTTGTGCAGTAGCCCCCGCCAAATGTCAGCCAGTGCGGCGACTTTTGCGTCTCGCTGTCGGTCTTCGACTTGGTCTCCACATTGGCATTGGCTGTACTTAGCTCCGACTTATCGGCATTTGCGTTTGCCCTTCGTTCGATTTTTGGGGTATGAGTTGAATGTTGCTAGCTCGTTTGTTTTTTTTTAACGGGTATTTCCACAAGATCTGGCAGCTTAAAAATAGACTGAAACTCTGAAGAATGCACTTGAGCACCGGCGTTGTTGCCACTTGTTGCACTCAAGTGCCAACTGGCCTTTCAACCAATTTTGTTTATCATTGCCACAACACATTTGTGCTTTGTGCTAGTTTGTGAGGGAGCCAAGCCACGCTTTGGAGGCCCCGTCATTGAGATGCGACCCTACAAATCGATTAGTTGGTCAATGCCTCCAAACCAGCTCGCTCAAAGATGCCGAGCTGATCTCTTTTCAAATGGGACGGTCTTCAGTTCAGGCTATTTTCTGCTAATAGAATTTCAAAGAGGAAGAAGAATTTATAGGACTGCGCTTCAGCTGTGAGATCTGAAGGCACACTTCATATAATATAATATGGTTTCCTTAATTGATTTTTTTAGATGCCTGGAACTAAGATCAATTTTATTTGATTTTCATTGTTTTCACTCTTATCGTTAATACCTGCCCATTAAATGTATTAAACACTTATTTTAATTGCCTTACATTTATTTAAAAATTTTTTTTTGTTATTTTCTCTCCTATCGTTAACAATAAGCAGTTGCAAAAATTTACAGATTCTATTAAATATACTTATTTTGCCTTTTTATTAATTGCCTTACATTTATTTAAAAATAATATTTTTTTATTTTTTTATTCTTCTCCCTCTTCTGATAAAAAAAAAAAATAATAAATTCCAGATATTATTTCAATAAAATTATTTAACGTTTTTAATAATTGCATTATATTTATTAAAGAATTTTAATTTTTTGGATTTATTTATTTAAAAAAGTCCCAAACTTTATTTAAAGGGATTTATTTATTTTATTTTATAATTTTTATTATTTTCCATTTACCATTAAAACATGAATAAACAAAATTAATATTTTAAAATCGTTTCCCAGAAATCCTATCATTTTGTTTATTATTTTCAAAGTAATAATTAACTTCAATAACTTTTTCTTACTAATTGAACAAATTTTTCCCATTTATTATTCAAGTCAATTACAATTATGTTATTTTTAATTGATTTCTATATATTAACTTTATAATCCTTTAAATATTGCACAGAAACTATTTTAATAAATTAATTTAATTTGTTCATTTTTACTGTTTATTGTCAACAATAACTTGTATGCAAGTCCCAGACATTGTTAATGAAATTTTATAAGTATTCAACTTTTTTTTAATTTTCACTATTATATACTTTACTTTAAAGCCCTTTATGAAGTTCCCAGAAATGATCTCAATTTATTTATTTAATATTTTTTGTTTTTATTTTATTAATTTCACTTTTACCCTTAACTCCAAATAAAATATAATGCAAATCATGGCAAAGTGTGTTACACATTTAAATGCTTCAACCTACATTAAACAAATTATCACAATTTTTAAATGAGTGTCATGAACGCCCCCAGCCGCCCCGCTGCCACCACCGCCGCCGCTCCACTCAACTGGAGGAGGTAGACTAAGCCGGGCCGGCAACTTGAGCCGTCGCGTCGTCAGTGCAAAGTAAACCAAAATATTTGTTGACAAACCGTTCGAGCAAATTACTTAATGGCTTAGCCAGTTAATGACCATAATGATGACAATCGTGATAATGATGAACAGGTAGCTGCTCGATGGGATGCTGCCTCGATGCCTCAGTGCCTCGATGACTCGTGGATGCTGCCGCACTGTGTGTAGACAACTTAAGATGTATTTCAATTTAAAAGCCGAGCTTTCAACAATTGCACTGAGGCAGCTTAAGGCGTAATTAATTTATTTGTGACTAACTAATTACTTATATTTAGCTAATATATATAATTAACATTTTATACGATATGCTTAGAGAATACTTTTTATTAAATAAAACTATTTTGAAGCGAACCCTTTCTATTAATCCATTTCAATCTTTAACACATACTTATATTAAGAATATTCTAAAATGTGTTCAATTTATTTTCGATATTTTCCATATTTAACTAGATTTGTATCTAAATAGTTTTTAAGTAACCCACATTAATGAGTTATCTTTATTTCAGTTTTCCAATGACCTTCAATCAGTGTGCAACGTCTCCAACGATTATCTTGTTAATTAACGCTCAACAGCAACTGGCTTGATTTTTGTTTTTTGTTTTTATTGCCGTCTTTTCATGTGAAACACTTGGCGTGCTTTCGCACCAAGGCGAATGGGGCACAGTGGGCGGCTGTGCTGACCAAATGACTGGCGAGCGCTGCACAAGGTCATCCAATTTGCCGCTAAACGGGCACAATTATCGAGCAGCTATCGTCTTATATAACGCATTCGACCCGTAGGAAGTCATTTAAATTCGAGCTACACGCGCGCTTCTTCTTCTACATGTTAATTTTACTTTGCTGCGCCCACCTGCTCCAACGCTGCCTGGCAATGGCAATGGGTGGGTGGGTGTGCGGCTGATGTCATGTGGAGTATCCAGGGCTTTTCAATTACAATGAATAATGAATGTTAATGGCGCCGACTAAAGGGCCTTAGCCCTAAGCTAAGCTAATGGAATTCAAAGTAAACTCTATTTATAAGCCTGCATTTCCAGAGAATGTTCTTAAAGTGGTCAAAACTGAGTGAATGGGTGGTTGGGCGGTTGACAATTGTCAAGACTCTAACATACACTTGACAAAAAAAAGGGTTAATTCAATCGCAAGACATAAAAAAGGCTTCAATTTAACTTATATAAAGATTACTTAAATTAAACTAACAAACAACATATTAAAAAAAACAAAGTAAAAAAAAAACAGATTATCAAACGCATTTTGCCAAAAAAAATATCAAAATACACATGAAGAAAATCTCATTAACTTATTTAAAATCAGTTGTAGTATTGACCTAGCTAAAAAGCTTAAATATTAATGTATCTACAAAAATATGATAGAAATATTTACTTAATATATTTATGCGTTGGTTGTTTGGCTAATTTCTTAAAGAGAAGTGGAGCTTCTTCCATTGTACTTAAAGCTAAAATACATATTGGAAAAATGTAAAAAGAAAAAATATATATATATATAGAAAATTGCACAAAAAACTTATAAATAATTAAATAAATATAAATATTCTAGAAATATTTACTTAAAATGTTTAAACGTTGATTGTTTAGTTAATTGTTTTAAGAGTTTAAGGAGATGTGAAAGAAACGAATATAAAAAGAATAAAGTAATATACAGATAATAAGTAAAGCATATAGAAAATATTAAAATCAAATTTATAATGAATGTAGAATTGGACTAAACAAAAATTGAATAATATTATATGACAAAAATATAGAACACAAATTTACAAAAAATGTGAAATTGGGCTTTATAGAGTTTTCTGACACAGCATTAAAAGATAAAATAGCACTAAAAAGAAACAAAGTTAAATTGATTTTAATCAAAAATCAAACCATATGAAAAATTTTAGAATTTCGCCAGCTCGTTTCTTCTTCTTGTGTTTAATTATCCGACACAGTCACATTTGTAGGTATTGCAGTGTATTTAGGGCCGAGATCAATAAACTTTAATAGCCTAAAGTGACGCATATCTAAGCTAAAAATTCCATTAAAAAGGTGAAAGTTCAAGAAGCCTTCTGCAAATAATTACAATAATTAAGTGGGCAGTACAAGCAAATAAACAAAGGCAACAACCAATCAAAACGCTGTAGCGTAATTAAAGAAAGAGGAAACATTGACATTGAAGTATAATGCCGCGTGTAGGGCACAATAATAACAATGAATAATTGTTGTATAAATGCAATGAGTGCGTCGAGAAAAAGTAAATTATAAATAAAGATCAACAAACACGCACAAAATGTGCCTGTATTAACGAGCTGCCGACCATTAAAACCAAAACATCCCAGCACAGGTGGGCGGCGGTCATAAAAGTCAGCCAAACAACAAATCAATGACTGCAACAAAGGCAAATTGTGGACAATCTGGGCGTGGGGCGTGGCACATTGTCGCCTCAGCCAGAGACTTTAATGTCAAAAGGCAAACGCGCACTTACAAATCGGTTAGTTTTACTGACGTATCTCATGGATGCCCAATGCCAGTGCATGTATCTGCAACTTGCTGTGCCCGTGTGTGTGTGTGTGTGTGTGCCTGTGTCATGTTTCATTGAATACAATGCCCAGTTAAACACTGCTGCCGTAATTTGTATCTCGCACTTTGTTTATTTACGCTGTCATCTGCTATTGTTTGGCGCTAAGAGTGCCCCCCTCCCCTGACCGCTTGCTATTCCCCACTAGCCTTTTTCTGTTTTGGCCAGCACTCACACTTATACACATTCACAAAGCAGCATTTTGTTAGCCATTTGCAGTCAGTCACATTTTGTGGGGCCCCGCAACAACAACAACAACAACAACAAATTCGCTTGTCAGCGCGCCCCTGGTTCAGTTTTGTTTTTGGGCACTTTAGCTCTTTGATTTTGCTGCTGTGGGGCACTTGGGGCTGCTTTGAGTCTCGACCATCATTTTTGTTTACCATGGCGCGTTTTCTGCGGCCTAACTGGCAATTAAACATGTATTTGCTGGCATTTTGCCATTGTGGCGCACACTTAAACGCAAGCCACGCCCCCTTTTCGCTGTAGGACTTATCACAATGTCAGTGCAAAACAAGCGAATAGTCGAGTGCATGTTGAGCTGGCTATAAGCCAGCAATTTATATGGGTTTCAGATGCATTTATCTTCAATTAAAAACTGGTGCACTTGTCGTATACGTGATGTTGTCGACAGGATAAAAGCTGTAGTCAATTAAATAATGTGTTTATGTGAAATGCAATGCATGTGCACCCATGAATAAGTTGCAGTTAAGTGCATTTAACATGTAGTTAACTTCATTTTCTCCTATGACTTTTAGTTGATCTACTGTCAAGGTTCAACAGTCAGTTTATGCTTCTGTTAAATATGCCTATGAATTTATTAACTACAGCAACTTTTCCTTTTGATTGTACTCGTAAGTTTATCTGCCTGTCAAAAATTGGCAATTTATTTATCTAATGATTAGGCATGGCTTTATAAACTTAGCTGCTGTTCAACTAATGAAATACAGTAAAGAATCTATTTAGAGGACTTTAGTTTTTTATCTTGCTAACAAAAATGACCGCTGAATATGAATGTCAAAGAAGTATACAACATATTTTTACACTCAAAAGTGAAGGTACGTAATCACACTTATCCAAATTTTTTAACTGTGCAATGATTGTCAATGATAAACTGAAATAAATGTTTTAACATTTTTTTTAGATATAATTTTCTTTTAACAGCATTGCTTTTGTATGTAATGTAATGTATCCTATTGCTGCGTTTTGTCTTTTGCTTTAAGTCAAATTTAAGACAAATATAATTTTTAAACAATTTAAGCAGCTGCTGCACAGCTTCATTTTTGAATTTACACACAATTTGAAGGTTAAGTCAGCTTCGTGTAAACGAACTGTAAAGTTCGCACAGTGGCGCCATCTGTGTGTCGCGCTTGTGCGCTTATCAAAAACTCACAGCTGTGCTGCTTCGTCTTCCGCTCTTACTAACTACCTTGAACAAGTTCAACGCAAAAGCTTCGCCGCCGAACCTCAAGAAGCCACAGAAAATAAACAAGAAAGAGGCAGAGCGTAAAGATTGTAAAAATAATACACAGTAATACACAAACGCGAGCAGTTATCAACTGCAGTTCCGCACGAGAAGATCCACACGACGTTGCGCCTGATAAATCCAAAGAAACAACTTTCGCTCTAGACTTTTGCTAGGAAAAACTCCATAGAAGCATGGAAGTATTAGATGACGACGACAACTACAGCGAACAGGTGGGGTAAACTGTAGCTTATCTCGCCACATTCTCAAATACAAATTCTGTGCATACTCTGTTCACAAAGCGCAAAAGGGTATATTTCTTTTGGACAATGTCCAGTCAGCTGTCCGCTATTCTGTCCGTCTGGGCTTAACACTTGAAAAATATACCTATTTTAATACGCATCATTATCAAAATTTTTGGAGAAAGCTGTAAAAATCTATATGCTCACCGGTTTTTGAGCTAAACTCCGTAATTGGAATTCTTTCGACCTCTTCTAAAAATCAAGCAAAAATAAATGAGGCCACGCCCACCTAATAAAGAAGTCACTCACATAAAGAAGTCTCTCGACTGTTATTGGAATGTGGACAGAGTATTGTTCGGTTGATAGACCCGTCTTCAACATTTTTTATTGTTCCCATTCGCCCAGCTCATTCTGGTGCAACAGAATCTGCGCTCGATGCCCATCGAAATTGTGCAGCGCTATGCCGAGAGCACCGAGCATTTGGATTTGAGTCACAATTGCCTCAAGGATCTGTCCTGGCTGTCGGAATTTGAGCAGCTGCGTTATCTGGTCCTGGACAGCAATCGGCTGCACGAGTCGCAGCTGCGCACGTTGCAAGTGCCACTGCCACAGCTGGAGGTGCTCATGCTAAACAAGAACGAGGTGAAGCAAGCGAATGTGCCCCGGCTATCAATTATTATAGGGTATATCAATTTACAGTTCAGCGATCTGGCGACAACGATTCGACTTATCAGGCGGCTCTTTCCCAACATTCAGTACCTCAGCTTGCATGGCAATCCAATTTGCCCCGACGGCCTGCATTTGCAGCCCTTCTCCATCTACTTGGATTACGATTATGCATACTACAGGTGGGCATATTACCAGCTCCTAAATTATAGCAAGGATCTTTATTTTAATTATTATTCATTATTTTTCAGCAATTTTATAGCACAGACGCTGGGAAAGCTAAAGTTTCTGGATCACGCCCCGGTAAAACGTTCCTACAACTATGAGAGTTTTCCTATCAAGGGCCATGATAGGGCGGAAAATACACTCGTAAACACGACAAAACTTTGAAGAAAAAACACATGTACTTAACTAAACTGATAAAAATCTCAATATTATAAATCATATACCTGTTTTTGTGTAGTAAAAGCTCTTAGTCGTGACAAGCACCCATTATTATTGATAAAAGCTCAAGGTGAAGAGCTTTTATCAACAGCCGAAAAGGCGCATGACATAAAGCACAAAACATATTAAAGCACGGCTAATAAATACCTCGCGGTGTCTTACAACTATTCTTATAGGCTGACAAAATTTAGGATATAATTTCTAGATTAAGAACTTTAACGATGCAAAAAATATTAAATAATTTAAAAACCAGTATAAAATGATATAATAAGATTTTGATAATCAAAATAATAAAATAATAAAGTAGGCAAAGATATACGAATTTTCGAGCGGAAACAAATAATTTCTAATTACTTTTAGGGTTTCGTAATAACAAAGGATATAAGAAAACAAATAAAAATAAAATAGAAAAATATACATCAAATTTAATGGGTATTATTGAACTAAAGCAAGTATAAAGCATAAAATAATTGAAATGCAATATAAAATGGTAACAATAAGTTCTAGATAAAAGAGAGATTAAATTTGTGTATGAAAATGATGACATAGCTTATTGACGCAAAATAATTTAAAGAAAAGTGCACGACAAATCAAAGATAATGATATATTAAATTTGTGCTAAGGTACAAGTACAGCAATACAAGTATAACAGTAAATGTTAAACAACAATGCGAGCTAAACTAACATGCTGTAGCAGGAGCCAAAAGCCAGCCTTAACCTTTGCAGGGTATATAGACATGCATAAAAGTAGAAATACACACACACACACGTGTTCATTTTCTGTTAGCCTGCGTTAGCCGGCCGGCATATGTTTTGCGGAGCGAAAGACAGCACAAAAGCGAGACAGCGTTAAAAGCACGCGCAAAGGCAAATCAAATAAACGCACGCATATCAAAGGCAGCCATAAAACGAATCCAGAAACCAATTGCAGCTTCAGTTAAGTGCTAACGCTCAGGCAGTCAAGTTGTCAGTCGCTCAATTGCAGCTCTTCAATATGGCCAATCCCAATGCGCAGCCCAAGTACACAAAAGTAAGTAAACAAGATATTGTTCTAATATTCAGAGGTATTTGTTTCCGTATCTCTATATTTACGGCTGTTCCCATAATGAGTGAAGAATTTCAATTACCTGACTACAGCTGGCGACAAACTGTGCTAAGCTTGGTTAGGATAAGCCCAAAGCCTTGAACTGCATATAAGAAATTCATTTTTTTCTTTTTGTGAATTTTAATTGAAGCACAATTTATTCAACTCGAATGGTTACACGATTTTTTTGTGTTTGATGTCAGTTCAAAAAACTTGTTTTTGTCAAGAATTTAGTCGCTTTCCTTTACTATATATGTATGTACATATGTCTTGCATATATATATAACGTTAGTATATATTGTAGTATGCATGTGTGTGTGTGTGTGTGTATGGCACGCACGCAAGACCGCAATATGTTTAAAGTGTTATTGTATATTTTATATAATTAATTGCGGGCCCATCTGGCGTTTTATTAGCTGACACTTGCTATCGCCCTTTAAGCATTATCAAGTGGGCTCTTTATATAAATACATTTCAATCTAATGTGCATGTCCGATTTGTATAGTTGACTTTGTAAGCGACACGCCTGCAATATCAATTGAAAATATAATATTGTACACTTACATTGGTTTCCCATAAAGGAATTAATTGTCTTATGAAATTAGGCTGAATATCAGTTATAAAGGTATTAATGGTCTTATGTATTTAGGCTACATCTCAGTTATAAAGTTTTATTATTATATGATGTACATATATATTTAAGCTCCATGGAGGAGCGAGCAAACTGAAAAAGAGTTATCCACGAACAAAATAGAACAAATATTTATCGTCGTAGATATTCGCAAATTATATTTTTTTTCACGCATTTCCAGCTTATCTAGCAAAACGGAATTATTGTTTTATGACTGTTTAATAGACTCTTTATGTACACTCTCATATTCAAAAATTTCTTTTTCAGCAACAATCAGATACAATAAAAAAAAATAACGAGAAAGCATTTCAAAAAACGCTTTAAAATATATAAGCCGCATCATAAGGAATTTATTTAATAAATATACATCGCATAACTTATGACTCGTAATATTATACGTTACGATGCGTAATAGAAAAACTAAAGACGTTATTTGAGCTAAGCGTTTTTTGATTTAAAGTAACATAATGCCAAAGTGTTTACAAATTGATTGCAACCAGAAACTAGGTTTTTTTTGTATAGATAAACATAAAACTCATCAAAACCCGACAAGTCTTACAATTTAGTCTTAAAGTACTCTGGGGAAAGCCAAAGTATTTCTATTCTCAAACATTCAACATGTTGAGCTCTTGCCCTGTTTACAGGGTATTATCTCATTAAAATGCTTGCTCTTGTTTACATTAACATAATTTTGATAATCGCTGGTGGTGCTCTGATAATGGCCATTCTGATAAGGGACCAACACAATATTAGATTAGTTGCGCTCGAGTGTGGACTTTAATAGTCATATTTAGAGCACAGCATGAGTTGGCAGTTTGTAGTTTGAGTTCCTCTTAAATGCTCCTTTATTCCCTCATTTTATTCGGTTGCAATCTTGACATTCCCACATGCATAAACTCCACTTTAGCTAATTGGTCTAAACTGCGTCAATTTCACATTCGTTTATTTTTTCTACACAATCAAAACTCGGAATTTCATTGACAATGTCATTATTTGTTGAAAGTTTAATAAAGTCTAGTTAGATCGTTTTGTTTACATTGAGCGTAACTGTCGCGTGTTTGGAGACTGACAACTTGTTAGGTTCACGTCCCAGCGGCTGCTAGTTAGGCACAGGGCAAAGGTCGTCGATGAAGTGGCGCCAATTAGTGGCACGCCAGGTGGTGCAGCTGCAAATGCATTGCAGCAGCTCGAGCTATGAGCATTGCCCACCCGCGCACAGCCAGGTGAGGAGCACAGTTTGACAGGCACTGGCACGTATATTACGTATAATAATTGCTATATAATCTGTATTTGATTGCAGCTGTTTATCAACAACGAATTCGTTGATGCCGCTTCGGGCAAAACCTTTGCTACCCACAATCCGGCAACGGGCAAGGAGATCATCCAGGTGGCCGAAGGCAATAAGGTGAGCATGAGCTCGCGCTGATAACGTATGCGCGGCAGGTTCTAATCTAATTTGCAATCTTTCAATCCAATCAACCAGGCTGATGTCGACCGAGCTGTGGCTGCCGCCAAGAAGGCCTTTCATCGCGGCTCCGCCTGGCGTCAAATGAGTCCGCTGCAACGCACCAATCTGATGAACAAGTGGGTGCCATTGACCCTTGATCCTTGAACAGTCACATAATAACTGCTCCTCGCCCCCACTTCATATTTCAGACTCTGTGAGCTGATGGAGCGCGACAAACAGTTTTTGGCCAGCATTGAGACCCAGGACAACGGCAAACCCTTTGCGGAGGCACTCTTCGATGTGACCATCTCGGTTATGACGCTGAAGTATTACGCTGGCTGGACGGACAAGTTCTTTGGTGACACCATACCCGCTGGTGGTTTCGTTGCGATGACACGCAAGGAGCCAGTTGGCGTTGTCGGTCAGATAATACCCTGGAATTACCCACTGTTGATGTTGGCCTGGAAATGGGGTCCCGCATTGGCCGTTGGCTGCACCATTGTCATGAAGCCCGCCGAGCAGACGCCGCTCACAGCCTTGCACATGGCCGCACTGGCCAAAGAGGCGGGTTTCCCGGCGGGCGTCATCAATGTTATAAATGGCTTTGGACCCACCGCTGGCGCCGCCATCAGTGAGCACCCGGACATTGCCAAGGTGGCGTTTACCGGCTCCGTTGACATTGGACGCATTGTTATGCAGGCGGCAGCCACAACGAATCTGAAGCGCGTCTCTCTGGAGCTGGGCGGCAAAAGTCCCGTCGTCGTGTTCGAGGATGCGGACAGTAAGTGGCATAGAATCCTAGACATTAGCGTTGAGTAACCCCATTTGATGTGTTTGCCCTGCAGTTGACTATGCTGTGGAGACCGCCCATGAGGCGCTCTTCTCCAATCACGGCCAGAGTTGCTGCGCCGGCAGTCGCACCTATGTGCACGAGAAGATCTACGACAAGTTTGTCGAGAAGGCGGCCGCCAAGGCCAAGGCACGCACCGTGGGCAATCCCTTCGAGGAGAACACTCTGCAGGGCCCCCAAATCGATGAGGAGATGATGACCAAGGTATTGGGCTACATTGAGAGCGGCAAGCAGCAGGGCGCCAAGCTGCAGGCGGGCGGCAAGCGTATTGGCAATGTGGGCTACTTCATCGAACCGACCGTCTTTTCCGACGTCAAGGATGACATGCGCATTGCCCAGGAGGAGGTAGAACAAACGCATTGAGCAGCCTCAGCAAGTGTACTCATGTGCTGCTCTTTCAGATCTTTGGACCCGTTCAGTCCATCTTCAAGTTCAGCTCCATCGAGGAGATCATTGAGCGTGCTAACAGTGTGCAATACGGCCTCGCCGCCGGCGTCATCACCAACGACATCAACAAGGCCATGAAGTTCGCCAATAGTGTCGACGCCGGCTCCGTTTGGATCAATTGCTATGATGCCGTCCTACCGCAAACACCCTTCGGTGGCTACAAGCACTCCGGCATTGGTCGCGAGCTAGGCAAGGACGGTCTGGACAACTATCTGGAGACCAAGACAATTACCATGAAGCTTCTGTAGGGTGGACAGCATCTGGTCCTTTTTGTTTTTTGTTTGTATATGGAATATTTGTATTTTATTTGCACATTCTGGCTTTATGGTTAGACTATTGCATTTCAATTAAAACTATTTGTCGAAAACTAAAATCGATTATATTATAAATTAAAACGAGGCACGAGTTTACTTAGCTTAAGCTTAGATAATATCATTGGATTGTTCGAAACCTTTTTGTTTTGTTGTGTTGAAAGTTCAGCAGACTTCAAATCGGAACTTGAAATTGCCTTTACCCTTGCAGAGAATGTTATTATGATCACGGGCAGACATAAAATTGATATAAACAATATATATATATATATAACTATATCATATAGCAGCGAGTCGCTCAATAAGAGAAAGGTTTTTTGTTTTCCGAGATATCTTGACCATCTTTACATTTACATGTTATCCTTTTCACATGTGCCTTAATTCTTATCCACATCAGACTACTATATCATATAGCTTTATAAAGGCTCCAAAAATAAGTAACAATATGAAAGTTTAATTGTTGATCGATCAATCCTATCTTTACCTGGTACGAGCATTATTCTGTACATCTGTATATTACACTCTGGGCAAAAAATCTTAAGAACTTCGTATTACCCTATCTTTCTTCCTTATCCACCTGCTATAGCAAAGATTGCTGATATATAGAATGTGGTAACATTTTTGAGAGCATCATTTTTGTATAATCGGACTACTGTATTAATTAGCTTCCTTGGGCAGGATAGGGTCAAATATTAGGCTGCGCAAAACTCATCTGCAAGGGGACTTAATATTCGGCAAGCCGAAACTAACTTCTCTTATTCGCTTCTTTCATTTTGTTCTAGTTCTTCTTCTTAATCCCTGCTTTGTTCTCCAAAACAATCGTATATAAAAATAAACCTGAGATTTCTGATGTGCTTCAGCTTGTGACAAAGTCAAGCCTTAGGCCAAAGTTGTTAAGTGCGTTTGTTGCCGTTGTTGTTGCTGTTGTTCCTGGGCTTTCAGCTCGAGCAGCGGCATGGCCACATCGCTAAGCCGGGACTTGGCGCTCTGATAGTCATCCTCCGACTTGGGTCTCAACTGCTGTTGCTGCTGCTGCTGCTGATGCTGGTGACGCTGTGGGCTGGACTGCAGCACCTTCGTATAAATGGGTTGTATGGGCTGAGCGCCAGCTGGGCAATGATCGAACATATCATCGATATCGACCAGTTGGAAATCAAAGGCATATATGTAACGCAGCACCATGACCAGCAGGGCCAAGAGCCACAGGATCATGCTGATGATATAGCTGCAACGGAAGAGATCCAGATACACATCGTGCGAGACGCTGTGCTCGTGGATGAGCGGCCGCAGCAGGGCAATCGCATCGCCACAGCTAAAAATAAAGGTTATTTCATTTGTTTTAATCAAGTCAGACACGTGTAGACCCACCTGATGGCCAGGGGATTGGTGAGACCTTGCCGCAAATGCCCACACAGACGTCTCAGATAGCCATTGGTCAGTATCGTGTATGCCGCGCTGCCCAGACTCATCAGCGTGAAGATCAATATGGAGGGCACAACAATTCGCCAAGGCTTGGGCAGTACACTGAAAAAGATAAAAGGAAAGATCATCCCAGTTAGTTGTCATCTGTTCACAGTGTAAGAAGACCTTGAAATGAGTTCAAAGGAGTCTTCTGGATTGATAAGATTGTTGACTCGGAAACTCACCACAATGACTTCCAAAAGAAAACTAGAAAATATTGTTTTTGCAATTTCTGAGAGCGGACAGACTCTATTGTAGAGTCGCCTATCAATAGGCTACCTGCCAAAACTAATGAAGCCAGCTCTAATAATGTGGTATAAATAGATTTGCACGATTTGCTCGCCTCCCAGTGGCAAATGTTGTAGTACTTAGTCTGACCCGAAGATACACGATTACAAGTTTCATGAATAGATGAAAAGATCAATACAAACTCTTTCCCTTTGTGAACAGAGTATAAGAAGAGTCAGTTCAACCGACTAGGATATACGCTTAGCGCATCGAAAAAAGCATGTACACACACATACAGATACACGCACGCCGCATGCTGTGCACTCAAGTTGCGGATGTGCTTCTTCTTCCCTTGGTCCCATACTATGCAAAATAATTCCTTTAAATACTTCGGTGTTTATTGTCCGATCTTGATCAGACCTCAAATATGACACCCAAAAGTGGTTACATACAAGGCGCTAGCTTTAAAAATGAATTTGCGGGGAATGGAGGCAGCTATCCAAAAATTGAAATATTCAGAATGTGTATATACTATATACATATCTGCAAAATTGGTTCTATTTAGCTTCTTAATTCTTCGAGCTATGCTTATGGCTCAATGTCTCCAAATCTTTTTTATGAAAATGGGGGTAGATATCGAAAAATATTGTCAACTCGTTCTGTTTATGAAATATGAAATTTCAAGACAGCCTCCAAACAGACAAAAAGTCAGACCTGCCTGGATCGACTGAGCTGGTTGTCCTGATCAAGAATATTTATAGTATATTACGTTGGAGATGCTTCCTTCTATCTGTTACATACATAAGCACGAGAAACATTATACCCCTTAACTGATTTTCAATGGGTACAGGGTATTCAAACTTAAGGTCGTAGGCCACTTACGATGTTTTCTTGTTGCCTGTTTGATAGATGAGACACATGGCCGTCCAGATAATGGCCACAGCCTCGGATATCAGTGGAAATGTGTAAACAAACTGGGCGCCAATGCCGCGACTCCAGCGTGTGGCATGTGTATCTATGGACTCTGCAAGCAATCAAATCAGATTTCACACCAAACTACTCTATGCTCTTCCCACTATCTACTCACGGCTAGCGAGAAATTTGCGATCCGCTTCCGCATTGGGCACCTTCTCTGGCGGTGCATTTGTTGTGGTTGTTGTTGCCTGCTGCGCATCCTCCTGCTCCCGTTCGCTGACCAGCCGGGCTAGCAGGAGCGCATTATCCTTCGGCTCGTAGATATGTTCGAATTTGTATTTTGGCTTTTTAGTTTCTGCTAAAGGGAATAATACAAGTTTAGTTATTTGAGTTAGAGCATTCGCCAGCTTACTTACGGCTGTCGCTCTGCAGCGGTTGCGGCGTTTCATTTGAATCATACGGTAGCTGTGCCACTTTTTGCAGATCCTGCTGGAAGATCTCCTTGCTTCTGTTATCCATTTGGCCATAGTCGCGATCCTTAAACATTATTTTGGCACTGATGATTCCATCGTAGAAATCGCCGGATAGCACGTGCAGTGAAACGCTCCACATAATGGAGAAAATCGCCACGAGCACCATGAGACATATTACTAGAACTACAAAAAAATAATAATAAAATAAAAATTTGGTTATTTAAAGTACAGAATATAAAAAGAGGTAAAAGTAGTTTTCAATTAATGCTGTTTGCAATTTTACAGAAATAATAATTAAATTCAAGTAGTATCGCTTAATTTGATAAAAAAAAAGTAAGGAAATATTCGGTATGCCTAAGATTTAATACCCTTGTAGACATTTCCCTTTTTTATGTTAGATAAGTGAAGCTCGTAAATAATGAGTTTGATGAAAATATCTTTGAAAACATATTATTTTGCCATAAAAGAGCCTACTCTACGACTGGACTTTCCTATGGCAGCTATATGATATAGTGTTCGGATGTTGATAAGATTTTGAGGAGAATTTTGAGATTTTGGGGATCATAGTGGAACTAATAAATCCCAGGTTCGTTCAGTTTTGGACCGATCGTTCCTATAGCAGCTTAATGATATAGTGGTCCGATCTGGCTGATTCTGAAAATATGCAAATGCAAAAAGAGGCACTTCTGCAAAATTTCACGACGATAACTTTAAAACTAAGAGATGAGTTCGCATAGAAACAGGCAGAATATATATATTTTATGGGATCGGAGATATCTCATTCTCGACATAGGTATAATGAGAAACGAGACTTTTAAATGGGCTTAGACATTTTAATAAGCTGTCAGAAGTTCGAACCCTGATCTTTATTTTCAGTTATTTTAATAGTCGGACTAACAAGACTGCGAGTCGGGTTTGATTCAAAAATGTTCGAGCGCTGAACTTCAATTCATAAATAGAATCTTGAATTTAGAACTGATTTAAATGGGACGCACTTGAAGCAAGATCTGGGCTCACAAATGTAGAAACCTCACTAGACGAAACCTTGAAGCTAAGTACAAACTATGAGCCGAAACAATTCTTTGAAAACTCTTTTTGGGTTTACTTATTTATCTCCATGGTTATCATTTAAATATCTTCTTTAATAATCTTTGTTATTATAAATATAAATAATTCTATATATATATATCATTTCTTCCAACTCAAACTATTTGTTTTTTAAATTGTTAAAGATAATAAATATATGTATAATATTTCAAATTACGATCGATTAACAAAACTATAAGTTAACTATGTTTTGTTAACCTGTGAATTATGTGATTTGCTTTGGTTCTATTACAACTATTTAAATAAAAAGTTTAAGGTCTAAGGAATTGCAAACATAGAGGTGATATATTTGGGCGAGCTTAAGCACAGATGATAAATAGTTGCGCATATCTGACAGCATCCATTTACAATAGAAATAGGTGGGGCTAGAAGTTGAGTGTGGGGGGGTGCCGAAGTGGCCAGAGACGTGGCGGCGTCTACTTTTGTATACATATTCGTAAATTTACTAGAAGACATCGTGAAAACAAACATAGACAATGCACAGTCCATAAACTAGCTGGCCAGAGTTTATATTGGAGGCATGATATCATGGCAGATGTTGTATATGGCTTGGTTAACGAGCCACGAAAGCAACAACAACAACAACAACAACAAAAACAACAACAACAAAAACATTTGCTGATGACGTCGAAATTAGCGACGGAGCTGCTCAATAAAATCCATTTCAATTGATGCTAAATTTCCGACACGCCGAGTTCACAGAAATGCCGAGCAAAATATAAATTTTAATGGAACGAAATGAAAAATGCATTGTGGCTAAAAGTCAACAAACATATTTACGAATTGATATATGTTATATATGTATGTTTGTGTGCCATCATAAAATTTTAAATGAAAATGGGTATTTTTTTTTTTTGGTTGTCTCGCGAAAATTTGAAAATTTTCATGTTCCATGCGTAATGTCAGGAAAAATGTAACGCATAGAAGGAAACGTTATCGAGCTCATAAATGATATATATTCTTGATCATTATCAACTACCGACTGCTAAGAATAATAGCTAGAATATTAAATTGATATTCGAAAAACTTTGTAAAGTGGAAAGCCCGCACAAAGTTGATTTACTTTATTGTAGGTCCCTATGAAAACAATCGGCGGGAATAAAAGCTTTTGTTTGAATAATAGGGTATTCAGTAGTCGTCGAGCTAAAGACAGCGCTTGTTTAATTTAAAATTTAGCCCATTTTTATGATTTGCAAGGATTAATAAAAAAAATCGTAAACATAATGACAAATAGACGGACTGTCAAGAGCACCCGTGAATGGGTTGAGAATATTTTCATGCACAAATGAACGCATAAATTAGAGAAAAACATGCATTCATTTATTAATGCTGTATTCATAAATGTGTGTGCCACTTGATATTGCGAGTTGCAGCAACAGCGATGACATCATGCTCCATCTCCAGCTGGGTGTGGACCAGGGTCGCGCACCGGAACGTTAATAGAACCGGGCCTTGGGGCATTGTTTCCGCCAACAAGAGACTACTTCAGCTGCCCGAAATCAGCTGTGCTGCGGAGCGGGGAGGGGGCAACTAACTGAAATGCTGGCCCAGAGTGTCATTAGCGATGATGGCAACTATTTTTTTTGGTCAGTCAAATTGGCGATTGGTGTAACTGAATATGGCTCACCGGGGGCCAGACGATGGCGTAATTCTATAAAGCGAGTCGAGCGAGATATAAATAAATATTACGGCTCGAAACTGGATATGAAAAGAAACAGAATCCAAATCAAGTATTGTATTCATGAGACGCCAAATGTATGTGCGCCTAATATTCATGGAACTAAATTATACATAGAAAATAAACCACGAAACCATTCCTCGCAAGCCCTCAAGGTTCTTTAATATAGTTTCGTTCAAAATGAAACAATATTAGATCAATGTGTATAACAAATAATAGAGCGGCAATGTCGTTTTACAAGCATTATATTTGTTTTTCTAAGCCTACATTTACAAAAACCACACATATGAACAAGAACGCACACAATTACTCTTCTTCTTCCTTTGTTCTACCCCACAAAATGCATTCTTTATTAACTTCGGTGTTTGTAGTCCGATCTTTATGACATGAATCAGCGCTTCAATGTGGCATAAAATTAA